ATTACCACCGGGGACAAAGGCTCTCAACCACCGCAGCGATGAGCCACACAGCACTGCTGCATGCTAATCTGGCCCCTATTGAAAAGAGGTCAGCAGAGCACTGAGCCAGGTTCGTGAACAAAAGACAATTGTATAACACCCCACAATCTGGGCTCTGTTTACAAGGCTGCAGGCCTGGCTGAAATATTCGGGTGTCAATGAAGGTCACCCGTCAACTTTGAGTAGTGCCTAAAGATTACTCCGTGCGGCTATAAACGACTGTTAAATGGAATGATGAATTGTCGAAGGATTTTGAAAACGGAAAAAATGACAGTCATGCCGGCCCAGCATCATCAACGTTGAAAAATGTCCCGGCACGAAGTGGTTAACCACTTGCTGCCGGGTGGATTTTTCTTGAGCCAGACAAGATGCCGGGTCCTTTTCAAGATTTTCTGTTTTCAAAATTCTTCATTTAATGGCTGTTTATACCTACATGAAGGGCTCTTTGAGCACTACTCTAAAGCCGACAGTTAACCTTCATTGACTTATTGAATATTTCAGCCAGGCCTGAAGCCTTGGAAAAAGAGCCCAGATTGTGCGGTGTTACGTAAGATTCTTTTGTTCCCGAAACCAGCACAGTGCACTGCTTGACCTCTTTTCAATAGGGGCCAGATTAGCGTGCTCATCGCTGCGGTGGAGAGCTTTTGTCCCCAGTGGTATACTGTTTCAAAACAAGGCTGGATTATCTCCACTATTGAGAACGAAAAAATGTCGGTAACGCCCAGCACCTCAGTCTTTTGTGCTGAGCACGGTCTTTTGTTACAAGGCCCAACTCTTTTGTCCTAGTTCCGGGCTCCCCGGCTCTGCATCTAAAGCCTATGTACTCGACAACGGGTCGCCCGGCAGGAAGCGGTTAAGACCGGCTCAGGAGAATGAATGCTGATAATGCCCTTGCCTGTGGCTCAGGCATTAGTCACATCCATTCTCCTGAGCTGGTCTTAAATGCATATTTAAGACTGGCCAAACACATATTTCTTCCCTATTAGTTAATAAATAGGACCTGCCAAAGGTGGGGGGGGAAGCCCCCAGTTGAAAAAGTAGGAAGGGGTGGCCACTGGCCCCCCTTTCCGTTGCCAGTGCCGTCCAGCAAGGATGCCAAGTGCCCCTTTTCACATTAACCTGATTAACATTAAACTGACCTTGCTACACCACTACAGCAACTAAGAATCATGTTAAACAGAACTACCCTCCCAACCTACCGGTTCTGAACCAGCCGTCGTTTGTGAAGGCTTCAGCCGTTGCGTCCGGCCGGTTCCAGTATTCCTTGAAGATGGCTGGCCCTCTGACCTGGAGCTCGCCCTCGGCAGCCTCTGACCCTGGTGTGACCTTTGAACCCTTGGAGGTACCGTGGACACAAACGTTGCCCTCGCCGTCAACGATGCGGGCTTCAACAGTAGAAAATGGATTGCCAACTGCTCCTACATGTATGCAGCAAAAAAAGTATAAAAGCTAATGAACACTGTTTATTGCATGGCAGTTGTGCAATTAAAGGAAGAAAAGGCTATGGTTTCTCAATTTTACTTATTCTTCATCCATAATTTTAAAATTACCACTCAAATTAACAGCAAGCCATCCAAACAACCAAAGGGCAACTTAACTGGTAGGGTTATTAAACATCGCTGGAAATAATAATAATACACAAATTATTAAATGGAAAAGTCCTTAATTTCCTCTCAAGAAAATAAAATCGTACACAATACGGAAAGACCCCCTCTCACTACTGGAGACCTTTGGTCTAATATACTTATTTCAACACCTTGGCCACCACCAATGGGCAAGTAGAATAACAGGCACACAAACAGTGAAAGAGACCTGTAGAGATTGCCACATCTTCTCACGCTTCAAGGTAGATTTTGAATGATCAGGGATCAGGGCTGATTGTGCAGCAACATTCACTTCAAACTCTTTACTGGAGCAAAAAGTCTCAAGTTGTCGAACTTCTGTCCTTACCAGGAACTCTGACACCGTGCACAGGGTTTGTCAAGGCCATGCCGATTTCTGTCATTCCGTATCGCTCCAGCAATCGGTGACCCGTGATGCTCTCCCACTGGTCGAGCACTGGCTGGGGCAGCGCCGCTGAACCGGCAACCATCAACCTTCGGGAGACCAATTCATAGAGTATTTCAACAAACTGCTTGAGGGGCAATGCACTGCAAATGCACACAAACAACTAGTGGCATAGTTGAGTCCTCCTCCGCTTCAAGAAATGTATCAAAGTACCGATACGAAGTGGTACAACATGAAATAAAGTTGAAAAACTGGACACTGTGTACTAAGTAGTTGGGTTTTTGGTTTCAAAAAGGATTCAAACTTGAGCACTTGTCCTGTGTGAAAAATGTGTACATTTCACGCATATCCATATTGTCTGTGTGCTCAAACACTTACATAACTTATTCAAACAACCTGGTTAAACACAGCCGTACCTCGTCCCATCTCAGTTTACTTGAGGTCTCAGAAAAACAGGACTAGACTATAATGTGAAGTACAGTCGCAGTCAAACTGTTGGAATTGCAGTGCAGTTTTGGTGTAAAAGAAAACAGAGAACACTTCCAAAGGAATTCAAAAGACGTACATCGCTCTTTTGACAATAACAGGGAAATTATAATTGGTTTTCAAGTTACACATGAATTTCTGTTTGTTTTATCACAGCCCATTTCTCACGTCACTTAAGTGCAAATTTCAAAAGACGGATCAACACACCCTCACCTAATTCGATCCTTCAGCTTCGCCTTGATGAAAGCCCTGGCCTTTTGACCGATGAACTTTGACTCAAAGCGCTCAATCAGCTTTGCGTAGATGGTGGGGACGCCCATAAACAAGTTGACCCGGGGTTCGCAATCGTCAAGCAGCCTGTCCCATACCTACACATTTGGATATATGGAATGAAGTTAAAAGACGACTTTTACTGAAGCTTATTTCAAATTTTTTACATGTACATGTAAGTTGAAATCACTGAATCAACTGTAGTTTTCATTCTGCGGCAGTTGACCGTAATATTACCAATTTACCTGTATACAAACTTGCTTTCATTCTGTAGATCTTTACATGTATTTTGTTTCCTATACAAAACACAACTGCCATTTCATGTGGGCTGCCAAAATCGGAAAAAAATTAAACCTTGGTTGGCGACAAATTGACCTTAAATTGTACATTTGCTCCATCAGCGTTAAAGACAGAGGCATTTTCTGTTTTATATGGAGGTTTTTCACGCGATGTAACGTGATGGGTAGGCATTTCAAGAAACGTATCATGTCCGTGGGGGCGTGTGCATTTTCGAATCTGGGTATTTCCATTGGCAATTTCATGTACGCTAGAATGTTGAGAGACTTTGAGGGCGCACAAGTTTCTGCGCACATGAGTACATGTAAATTAAATGCTAATCGTCAAAAATCACGTGACTGAAAACCTTTACAGGCCTGGCAGTATATTTTGCTTGGTGTTATTTAGCTCTGTGAGATTGACTCTTTGTGAATTCTCTTAGTTATGTACTGATGGCCAGCCACAGTTTGGCCAACTTTTGGTTGGCAGAACTTACTTTGGTAATGCAGTAAAAGAAAGATCCACGTACATGTATCTGCTCTAAGCAGGAACAGAGGCGTGTTTTTAAATGAAATTGACAGTCCTTTGCTACCAACTCACAGCATAGGTGTGCAAGTTTATGCGCATTTGATATGGAGCATGCCGAGTATGTGCAACAAATTTCGTTTGAAACGTACATGTATAATCTTAGCGAGCACAGCGACCACGTGCAAGAACCCAGTTGGGAAACTTCGTACCATCTGTCTTTCTTTTGCCGGTGAGGGTGCACGTCAGCTCAGGTCGGATAATCAGTAACTAGCTAAGCCAATCACATGACTGACTCAGAGTTCACCTTGCTCTCACCTTGTCAACGTCAAACTCTGGCATCATGACGCAGGTTGCCCCGCACCACAGCGGACACACCAAGACGTTGACCAGTCCATGGAAGTGGTGCAGCGGCAGCACGTGGAGAATGACGTCACTGGCCGACCAGCACCAGGCCTCAACCATCATGGAAATCTGGGCCTGCAAGGCAGCAAACGTTGTGACCACACCTTTGGGTGGCCCCGTTGTCCCACTCGTGTATAAGATCATTGCCTTGCGGTTCTTCCATCGGATTTGGCTCCACTTTTGTGTCAACACCTGCTTTTCAATCAGTTTGGAATCAATTAAATCATGATTGGACACTGTTACGATATCTTGTACAGCACCTGATACATTGTTCTCGCATTGAGGAATGCCATGTTCGTGCAGCTGACTGGAAGTCTTACTTCGTCGTGTGACGAATGCATCTTCATTCAAAATTAACACTTTCAGGTCGTTTTTCTGCGCAAGGCTGTTTGCCTTGTCGGAAAACTCTCTTGTGGCTATAATGACAGAACTCTGTGAGTCGCTGATGACGTAGTCCAACTCAGACAGTGGATGAACTTTACAGAGAGGGACCACTGTGCACCCACTCATCCACGCCGCAAACTGCGATATGACAAATGAGACGTTGTTCGGGCAGAGTAGGGCCACGCGCTCGCCGTTCAGTATCACCTCGGACCCCCTCCTCCCAATCGGCGCATCTCGCGGGGTGACAGCAAGGATGCGCTGGGCGAGTGCGGTGCTGAACCCGATCAGTTCCTCGTAGGTGTGTTGGCCGAGGCTGTCCACGATGGCTGTCCGGTCTGCGTAGCCTTGCCTCATGGCATTCAGGAAGACAGGTTTCACGCTGACCGTGTTGGATGAGCTGCCTCGTTTGCCGAGACGAGGGATGCCACATGCAGCTCTTTGCAAGAGTCTAGGTACACTGTTGAACCTGACCAATCTCTTGGCATGCCCAGAGTAACAACGAGAACTTGGACTTGTGGAAATGAGCCTTAGAACAATGGGGACTAGATGTGTCATCATGCTTACATGTACCTGAAATTACAAAGCACAAGATGAATCATATGATATTTTCTATAATGTTAATTTCTAACAAATGTCTGTTCGATGCAAAGAGTATTGTACAGTGCCTTCAGACATGCACAATGTATGTTTAGCCACTGTGGTTCAGTTCACAGGGGGCATTTTATCTCTTACATGTAAATGTTGTCTTCAGGAAACTACATGATGAGATCGCCATGCCAGCCTGGCCCCCCTCGTCAAATGATGGATAAAATACAGGACCACTTAATGTCAACGGTGCATGAAATATACATATTGCTCAAATTAATCACATGTCTTTTGTACAGTAATCAAGGGCTTATATGACTAGTCATATAGCAGACAACATTACACTACAAGTAGTCATGGTAACAACCTTTGTCAGTTTATGCTCCCCTAGAAAAACTGTGGGATTCCTCGCTTTGCATCTCTTCTGGTTTGGGCTGAAATTTGAACCTTCCAAATTTCTTTTTAATGTGGTTGGGTACAATGGATAGTCTAACAACAGAGAAGATAGTTCATTTTTGGAAAGAGTTTTATATACACAAAAAGTGTACGGACAACACTTAATGACCCCGAGCTGTTCACAAACCTATGTGTTTTAAAAGTTAATGCTTCAGAATGTCCTCAGCTAAATTTCACTTTTTGGAACATACTGTCACTTTCTGATGGCTGTTATAACATTTTAACCCCTTGACGTTGGGAATTTTTTCTGAAAGCCGACTCCGAAAATTCCAGCCTCGCTTGACCACGAAGACCACTTGCCAAACCGCAAATTCTCGGTTTGTGGCCCTGCGTGCTCTGCACTCTTTGACTTACAGTGAAAAGGCTCATTGTTCAGTGGCATACGGCTCTACTCACGCTTCCACATTCCCGTTGCCTCTTTTCAAAGTGGGGACTATTGTGAAGCTGGTGATTATGATGCAAAATCAGCCTTTTCATTTCTTGGCAATACACAAAGGCCAATTACCGTATATACAAGAGCCAGGGTATGCCTTCTTTCACCGTGTTCGCTCAAGCGTGGGCCGAGAATAATAGCTGAAAAGCGGGCTGAGGGATCTCAATTTCTACAGTGGCTCTTACTGTTTCCCGGTGAGAAGGGGTTAAGGGAAACTTAGTGTTGTTCAGATATTGAACTCTTTCCTCATTTTTTAGCATGGACTTTTTTTCAGGAAACAGTTATATTTTTTGACAATACGCTTGAAGTAGTAAACAAACAAAACATCTGTGGATCTGCATTATGTTAATTACCGCCAAAATGCCTGGCGCAACTATTAGGTGCCAATACAGGGGAAAAGTCGGATCCATAAGGTTTGGTAACCAGAATTACATCAATGCCGCATCATACTTATGCACCCAAAATGCACTACGTGCATGTAAAATGTGCAACTGTGCAAGCAGAAAATGGCAGATCTTAAAGTCATCCTTTTGTTTCATCAGAATGACAACATTCACCACTGGATTCCCCTTGCTTCAAACTTCAGTGTATACGTTAGCTTCTTTTTAAGTAGTTCTGAGTCGGGTGCCACAAAGACTATTTTCTGAACGGAATTTCGGGGTGCGTTTCATGACCCAAAGCTGTGTCAACTGCCACAATGGGAGACTTTGAGACATTTGGTGGCGGCAGACACAGAACAGGTCTTTTTTGGTTGATATCGGCATGTGCTTGCAGTTCCAGGCTTGCATGTTAATTCTGAGCATGCACACAACCAAAGGACTGGTTTGTCTGCCACCACCATGCAGCTCAGTCTCCCATTGTGTATCAAATTGTACTTTCAAAGTTGGGCATGCCCGACTTACAATGTAGGTTGAAAACAGAAGGGACGGAAGGGTGTTGTGCGACAAGCGCCCCCTACGTTCAAACTCTTCTCATTCAGTCTTGTGCAGTGATGGCGTGCACACCCTTTGTTTCTTAGCTGCGTGAAGATGGACCACGATGAGTCTTTGAAACCACGAACAGCTGGCAATAATTGGTAGTTAAGTGTGACTCCAAGTGTAAATCCGTAGTATAATATATTTCTTATACAGGACTTTTATTTGTCAGAAAAGGTAATTTTCGAGATGAAAACTGTCTTTAGAATATTTTGTTTCAATTTGTTTACCGGCTAATCCTTTTTGACCATGCCATGCCAATTTTGTTGCCCCATTTTGATGAACGTAGAGAATATTTTGACGCGTACATGTACCAAACTCAACGGACAAAATTTGAAAGAGAAGCATCACCCGTTTTTTATAACGGTGTGAACAAACAGTCATGTTGAAGGGAAGGATTTCCTTTAAACGACTGCGGTCTGAAGGTGAGGCCTTTACACATGCATTTCAGGAAAAAACTCAATGTTGAAGGTGGATGTTTTACAAAATAAATCGTTCTTATGCATGGATATTAGGGGTGTTAATTTGAGGAGATCACAGCCTAGTGTGTGCATTATAAGCGTGTTCACATGCAGGATTCACAGCAGGATCAAGAAGCAAAAATTGGAATCCTTTTCTAGAATCTCCATGAAACAAAGGGCTGGTGTACATGTTGGAAATAGAACAAGTTCTTCAATAATCGATAATAGAAACGCTGGAGATTGTAGCTTTAAATGAAACAGGTCCATATGAACACCCCCTTTCAATGAATGGAATAGGCACACAGGTCATTGTATGCACATCATGCGCAAACCCCTTCCGTCCCCCCTGGTTGGAAAGAAACACTTTGAGAAAATGGGCAATGGCAAGCGATAAATGTCATGAAATTGTATTGACATTAAAATGAGAGAAAAGAAACACAGTACTCGTAAGGGAAAAAACATGACGGGAAGAGTTCAATACATGGACATAACTTGACACCCTGCACACAAACCCTGTGAGTCTAGTCTGAAGAATTATATTTTCTAAGCAAATGCTTGGAGATTTTCCCTGCTACATTAAACTGTTTCGGGCGACTTATTGCTCTCTGACTACCGGTACTGACACATGTATGTCTATCACTGGAGGGAAAAATAGTGATATCCATGTATGAAACTCTTCTAAAATTTAGTAAAAATGACAGATTAAATGCACAAGACAAGAAAAGACACGAAAAGGAGGGGAGAGAGCAAAATCACAAAAAGCAATTTTTAAAATAAATAATTTAGTAACCCCAACCATGGTCAATCATGGCAATACAATGACTAACGTTAACAAAATGGACGTTAACTACATGTACAGATATACATTCTAGATGTACCATGTTAAATGTGACATTAGTCAGTCAGTTGGTATTCATTTAGTCCTACCTACATGGACAAGATTGAAGTCGCAATGACAAAAATAAGAGACGTCGTCAACTGGACTAGGTCAATGACATGAAAACATGTAAATTAAAACCCTTGGGCTTTGAAACTGGTCACAACCATGTCAGCCCAGTTCCAGTTCTCGCACTTTCATTTAATTTCCCTCTTGACATGCTTAAGTTTTGTTCAGTTCAGCTAGATAACCGACACGACCGAAACTGAGCACGCCCAGTAAGTAAAGCAGTTGGGGTGTAACGTAGCCCAGGTTGGACATTGTCTTCATTTCCATCCACTATGAGTACGACTAGTCGCAATGCAATGACGTGCACTGAGCTAGGGTGTTACTAACATATCTTCATAAACTCTGGGTTCATAATGCTGTTAGATACCCACTTAAATAAAAAGTCCTCTCTACTCTTTTTAGGTAACATTTTGAAATAAAATGAAGAATATGGCTACATTTGTGGGAAGATTAGAAACAAGTTACATGTACATGTACATGTACGTGTAGCGCCGGTATCCAATCTCGGTATCGGTTATCGTGACCGGTGGTCTCGTGGTGGTGCCGGTACCACAACATAACAGCAAAGACAGGGTACTCGACAGCAGGAGAGTCCAAGCATGGTTTAAACGTATCATGCGTCGTCTGCTGTTGCATAACATCGAGTATCCGCCCTGAGCTGAAGTGCAGCCTCACCGACGAAAGACAGACAGACAAATGATACTAAGGTTGCACTACACCAAATACGCGCCCATAGAAAACAGTGCAAAATCGGACCGAAATAGCGCCGCCTGTTGACTCTTGTGAAGAGGTTGACCTCCGTATTTCACTTGAAAGTCAACTTGAAGATTATGGCCAGAAGATCACTTTTCGTTTTAATTTCATGGGGGTTAACCAGGAAATTTTTTTCATCCGCCTTTAAACTGAGTGCTCATTTCTGAATGTAACCGCCCACCTTTATCCAAAATAGGTCCGCAATTTCGGGCTTTTTGTGAAAGAAATACCCTGACCTGGAGACTATCAGTCCTAAATTCGAGATTTATAGAAATATTTCAATGATGCCTCCTGATTATGGCCTGTCTTATTGTAAAAACCCCATGGGATCACAAAATATTAATGAGCTCGCGCGCAGAAATACAAGCATTTGGTGAAATGCACCCCTAAGTTTTCCAAACGGGTTCTAGCGCGCGTTCGGCGTGCATGCAAACACCACACATTATGGACTAAAATCGTTCGTGCACTCAGCGTGCTCCGCGTCAAACGCGCATAAATTTGCGCACCTAGGCGGTGCCAGAGTACGAAAGGACTGTCGATTTCGTTTCAAAACACGACCTCTTTTGTTCCTGCTCGGAGCGGATAGGGGAGGCTTCCTTCCCAATGCAAATAATACTGCCTCGGCAGAATTTTTCATCCCCGACTTTGATGTTGTTAGCTTAAGAGTAAATCATTATGCTACATGCTGCGAACCCCCCGATTGAAGCTAGTATTTCATTCCACTTCGTTACTGTGAGCCCAAACGCGGTTTCCATGCCAAAACTTGCAGCCGATAAAGTTATTTAGAATGTGATGGGGGTCTTTCAATAGAATGAATGTCCATCATTATTTATTTTACATCAGCCGGGAAATCCAGTCATTTTGGTCTTAATTCCACCTCCCCTGTCATGGTTACTGTGACCAATAATTTTCTCTGATGAACACCCCACCCAACTGTAGTGCAAAGACCAAAACGTGTGCCATTTTTACTCAAAACCGTCCCGTGAACTTGAACGAGGCCAATATCACGAATGACAAAACTTGCTGCCCTGCATGCCCGTCATTTAAAACTTATAACCTAAAACCTAGTAGGCCCATAATTCAGACCAGTTTTTCCCTTTTATTTCAAATTTCAAGGGGGTGGGGAACAAGTCTTAAGTATTAAATAATCTGTTTCGATATTAAGTTCGTTTCCTCCGTATATTTTAATTTTCTTGCTTGGTGTAACAATACTTTAACAACTCGAAAGCGTTTTCTTTAAATCGTGATCTGGATGTGCCCCGACTTGCCCGTGCCCCCGCATTACATTTGAATTTATCTATCATTGAGTTCACTTAGTTTGGCAATTAAGGCAAAGTGTACGAAAAAAACGGAGAAACTACAATTTTCAGTTACAAGTCTCACGTTTAGGCTATAAGTTCAATTTATTTTCCAAGCGGAACGGTTCAGGGTTAGTAGTGACAAAAAGAACATGACTTAGAGTGCTTTTTGTTTTATGATCTAAAAAAATCTTATTGCGTTTTTGTTTTCTTCAACCAGAAATCGTAGTCTAATGGGTGAAAATGGAAACAGTGATTTCAATGTCCAAAATTCCAATTTGTCATTCTATATGAAAGGTTTAATATGGGAATTTGAAATAATCAGCTGACTAACTTTTCAGGACCTAAATGGTTTGAACTAAAGGATACATTTTCGAACAGGAATGTTGTTATGAATTGCCAGTGAACAAACTGCAAACAATGCAAGACTAGTTGTCTAAGTGTCTAGGTGGATGAAATGGTAATTTCCTTAAATTCTGTTTCCTTGGCCTTGTTTAATTTTGTTTGGGAGAGCAGATACCATTTTTGTATACGTATCTGGAAAGAATGGACGGTAAAATAAATCAGCTTAGTTTGGAAGATAGTCCAAAGCTTTAGTTTAGAGAAGTGCTTTAATCTCGTCGTACAACACCAACACCAGAGCGCCACCGGTCCCGCGGAGAACGTTGGAGAACGCCCCCTTGAAGAAAGCAGTTGGCCCCTCCTGCTTGAAGATCTTCTTCCAGCAGTCAATGGTGTTCTTGTACAAGATGTCCTTGCGGCCCGACTGCATCATCATGCGGCGACGGACAGTGTCGAACGGGTAGCTGACCACACCGGAGCCTGTGGTCACCACCTGGGCGATCATCCAGCTCACCAGGATGTTGTTGTACTGAGATGGGATCAATCCCTTCACGGTGTCGTACGTGCCGAAGTAGGCGGCCCGGTAGATGATGATGCCCTGCACAGACACCCCAAAGCCCCGGTACAAGCCCTGGATGCCGTCCGACTTGATGATCTTGGTCAGGCAGTCGCCAAGCCCCTTGAACTGCCGACCACCCCCGTCATGCCGCCCGATGTCGGCCGCCAGGCGCGTCCGGGCGAAGTCGAGCGGGTAGACGAAGCAGAGCGAGGTAGCGCCGGCCGCCCCGCCGGAGGCAAGATTCCCGATGAAGTAGCGGGCGAACTGCGTGCGCTTGTCCACCCCGCTGAGGAAGAGCTGCTTGTACTTGTCCTTGAAGGCGAAATTGAGGGCTTGAGTCGGGAAGTAGCGGATGACATTGGCCAGGTTGCCCCGCCAGAGAGAGACAAAGCCTTGCTCCTTGACGACCCGACGGAAACAGTCAAAGATGCCTTTGTATTGCTTGTCCGCTGCGATCTGTGTAGAGGCTGCCTGTACCTGTTTGCCAAAATGTGAAAACAAAAATCACGATACATCTGCGCAGCGATTTAGACTTTGAAATTCTTGTATTGTGTGAATAAATAAGAACACGAACAATCTCGAGACAGCTTCTCCTATACTCTAACGAGAAGGCTATTTGCTTGTACAAATTAATCAATGACGAATGCACATTCCACTCTTTAGCCATGACGGGAATATTGATACAAGCCAGCCTTAAAATATTTTTGTAAAGCTGACAAAGTAGAAATACAGATATCGACAAACACTCCAAATGATTATAAACTGGAGTGCAATTATTAAGCTGTTTCAAACATTAAATTGGAATAATTTGAGTAGGCCTACACTTTACCATATTGAAAGATAGTTAAAAGGCTACGGTACATACTTGGAGCAAAAGTTTGACGCGCTCGATCGGTGCCACTGCCGTCTTGGAGATGGCGGCAGCTGTCCCGCCCGCCATAAGGTCCTTGACGAAGGAAATTACATCGAAGCTCTGCCCGGGCATACTTGCTGGCTACACCGATATTCTCGTCATAGACTTCGGAAATACAATGTCTGAGAGAGGATAGCTTGATCGAGACGTGCGTGCGATCTCTTCGGTCATCGACAGCTGAAGACGACTGCGCAAACTTGCAAACTTCTAGTCGATTTAGTTACAAGTTGTTAGCAACCACCGGCTCTTAGCAACATTATTTGGAACTCTTATGACGTTTTGGCTGAAACTGTTACCGTGTACCACCTACAATACAGACTCCACGCTGAAAAGATTTCTTTGAAGACTGATCCGACTAAGAATTTACCTTGACAGTGTTCTTTTTTTCTGAAAATTTTTCACAACGCTCGTATCAACGGTGCTTTAAAATAATCGAAAAATGTGGGCAACATGCGCGGGCGCATGCTAATGCAAAGAACACGCCGGGCGCATCAACCAGCACAACACTCTGCGCATGCGTACTGTGCACGCGCCCTGCACCTGCCATTCAAATGATACAAAACAAACACGTGTGTTGGAAAACCATAAAAAGTCCCGGCCGAGAGAAGCTCGAGTCTTGCTAAAAATAATTTTATTGCGTTAATGTTCAGCTTTGTAACGACTGTGCAAACTGTATGCCTCATGCACAGTACTTTTTTTCATCTTTCTGGGTGCAGCTGACAAAAACTCTACAGACGTTGCAGGTTTATAGGCCTCAAGTTGACCTATGGGTCCAGATTCTACAAATTTGGAGTTCTCTACATATAACAGACACTTTTGCATACGAGTGTTCATATGGATAATGCTCATCCAAGTAAAAGATATATGTAATTTGAAGTTATTTGTAATGATACTCGAACCGTTAAATTTTTCATCTTTTGTCGCATTTTAGACCCTAAATTTATACAGCAATGCATGCCAAAGTCATACAGAGCTATCGTAAAGACACGCCTACGTCGAACTGCAATGCCTTACTTCCCTGAGAATTGCCAAGAGGCAGACGATGTAAAGTTGCATTGTTCCGTTGTCACAGTGCGGGCCTTGTACAATTTGCTCATCTCAGCACAATGCATTAAACATCAACAACCCGCTAGAGTCAAACTGTATCAAGTAAAATACAATAAAATACACGCCTCTAACAATAATACTTAAGTTTTGTGAAGTCTTCGAAAATGCACTAAAATTTTCACCTAAACCTCACTTTTTTGTTTTGCAAAAATAAGTTCGTATTTTGGACGTTGCTATTTAACTGTTAAAGTCTACACAATTAATTGTAACAAACCTGCATTTTAGTTCAAACAGATTAATATCATAATTTCACAGCAATCGATAACATAATTATGAATATATGCATAAATCTAGCATTCTATTCTCTATTAGCTATTCTGTTTGAATAAGATTTAGGACTGAAAAGTTAAGCTTCATCAACTTCAAGCATTAATACCATTTGATAGTGGTTCAAAGATGCCTAAGCTAATGATTTAACAGCCTTACAAACACTGAATGAGTACTAGTTTTTACATAGAATTTTACTATTTTGTAAGGCTTTGTGCTTACACAGTACTGGAAGCTGTATTCTGTCACCATTATTTGAATTAAAACTATTTCTGAATATGGTTTTTCTTTAGTTTTTCTCTCTAGACATGTGAGATTGTCCTCTGTTGACTTTGTTTTAATCTTACAGGTAAAATGGGCCTTCTAGCTGCAATGAGCCCCCCTTATGAAATAAAATAAACCATGTGATAATAACGAAAATCATAAACTTTTTACACCTTATTAGGTCTTGCTACATTTTGGCCACTGAAGGCTCCTTTCGCCAGCTTACAGTCGACATTTGCCGAAATACAATTCCTGTGTGTTCACCCTTCTCGCATAAACATCACAATCAACAAAAATACAAAATATACAAAACAGCCAAAGCCCTCAAGGTGAACGAATTATATATAAGTCTTTCATACATTTCTGAAAAAAATAGAGCTGAAATATTCTAAACTAAATGATGCTACTAGATTCATGATTTCTCAGGGTGGTGGTGGTGGTGGTGGTGGTGGGGGTGTGCTGAAGGAGAGGATGGGAAAAGTGTTACCACAAAGAGACACTAGCCTCTAAAAGTGTGAATAAGACATCAATTTTAGGACTGAAAATCTAGGATTTTCTTCCTGCAATTTTCAAGTTAAAATATGCAGATTTTTTAAGGGGGAGGGGGGCTGTTCCTCCCTTCCCACAATCCTTGAAATAATGACAAGGACTGTATTAAATTTTGTTGCAGGTGATACGACTTATGAGAGACTTTTTATTAACCTTTGATGACTCTTGCTTCAGCTACATTTCTGTTCACATGGGCCAAAAAAAGAAGGAAAAATGAAACACAAAAAAACATTAAACTCCAATCTGAAGTACAATTACATGATCTAGAATGCAGCGAAATAGTATAAAATGATCTTAGTGTAGGTACAAGTCAAAAGAGAGAGAAAAGAGGAATGATTAAAGAACTGTACAATTACAATGAGTACTGAATGAAGTACGACAGGTTTCAACTAAAAAATAAAGCAGATTCAAAGTAAACAGACAAAAAATAACTATTCAATATTTACAAAAAATATTTCCAACCACAAATATGCCCAAAATATTGCATTGTTGGGGATGGTGACATAACTAGGTTGGTGCCGATAAATTGAGTGAAATTTCGTATTTCCAGGGATTCAGGGTAGTATGTCAAAATGTCACATGGGTGGGGTCAGGGTTGTAGTCTGGTGCTCAGGTCTTGCTGGCCTCTCTGTCCCGTCTCTGCTTGATCCTCTTGAAGGTTGGTTCGTCCAAGGTCCGCACAACGCGCATGGTCTGCGGATGGTCAGGGCCGAAGACCTAGAGATGGGGGAGAGGAAACTATTTTTAGAATGCTATGCATACTGGTAAGATTTATCAAAACTCTTGAATAAAGCCTTTCCTGAAACAAACAGGAGTTTTTTAACATGCTTCTGGGCAGGGCCTGCCTCTGATATGAAAGATACTTATCCATAATATTTACAGTGCAGTCAGTGCACATGACAAATGCCAAATGCACAACTTAAAATTGTTTTGCTGCTCAGCGCAGTTCCGTCACTAACAGGACACAGCATTTCACAGATTCCATTTTTGTCAATGTCACCTCCGACACATGAATGGCACTGATTTGGGTCGGTAACTCCCTGTCACTGAGTCCGGGGTTCGAACCCGGCAGCTAATTGCATGTTGCAAACTTAGGGAAGTCAATTTACCCCCTACATGCCTCTCTCCACCAAAGTGGGGGACAGCGATGGTTACTGCCTGAAATAGCAGCATCAAGCTCTATACTCCTAAGGATGATTAGGGGGTCTTAGAATGTTTCTGGGCCCAGTGACGAGCAGGGACAATATGGTGAAATATATGATGAGAATCCACCGGTGCTGACACGCTTCGAATCAATGCATCACAGGGCTTCCTTTGGGCCAAGCCTACCTGAGTTTTGATGACCAGACCCTTGTAGAAGTAGTCGTAGGCTCCCTCCAGATTCCTCATCTCCTCCAGCAGGATGGCCTTGTTGATGACGACACGGCTTGACAGGACGCTCATCTCGCCGCAGACCTGGTAGCACAGAGCCTCGGCCTGGTTATACAACTACAAAGACAGTAATTAACATAGAGTTAACATTTTGCGGGACCCAAGGGTGGATCCAGAACCGATTTTTCAGGGGGGCCAAAATTTTCTTTGAAGGGGAGTGGGGACTGGGGAAAGGCCTAAAAATTTGGAAATTTCAACCTTTTATGACCTTTTTAAGGGATGATGGTAAACTTGGGGCTTTTTTTGAAAACTTTCTGGTACCTTTTTTGTAGAAAGTGGAAAAAAGTACCAACCTCCAAACCATTAAACTTCTAATTATCCAAAATTGTAGGCTTTAAAGATCCTGAAATCATACATCATAACCGTGCATGACATATTATTGCAAAGACATCGGTTGTCACAAAAACAAATCCAACAGCCCTGGGGAAGATGAGCTCTTTTTTTGTTAATTGACTTTAATTTGAAAATTTCAAAGCACACATAAAAATAAGTTATTGCACTGCTAAAAACGGGCTAACCTTTCATTATTAATAATTACCATTCATCAAAGCATTGAAATTCACCACTTTGCACCACAAGGTTTGAAACAAACTCCAGCTAAAGAGAGCTGACTCCTGTATTTCGAATCTATCAGCAAATCGAATTCAATTCACAGAACAGTTCTGTTCAGTTTCTACATTACCCATCGAAGAAGCCAACGTAACCACTTCACACAGCTCACCCCTTGTAGACTGAGAGAGCACACAGCACACAACAGATTCATTTGAAAGCCTTTATTACTAATTCTGTTAGACGAAGGCCAAACCCTTCCATGTGACATCAGGCAAGGACTTGGGGGATGATGGTTACAGAACTTACGTTCAGTCCTTCCTGTTGATTGGAGTCGCACGTCAGCATGGCTTCATTCATCAGGCATTCAGCCACATGGGCCTTGTCGTCCAACTAGAAAAAAAAACATGCATCATGAATACACTCAGTACAATAGTTTGGCAAAACCAACAAAGATCAGTTTCAATGGATTATTTGAGTGAAGGGGCAAGCGTATTGAAAGTGAAACCTGTCCTAATTTGGACTGAGAAAAGAAGATTTTTTTCTTCTGTAATCTTCAGTGTCTGTGATTTCTTTTAAATCACACAATACTGTTGATATCCTATTAAGTAGAAAATAATCTAACATCTGATAAATAAGGCGATTTCTTTTTTATATATTATGAGGGCAGAGACAGTGATGATTGAAGTTTGCATTTGTGGAAAGCTAACAATTCAAGTACCGCAGATGCCTTCTAGACGCATTGTCAAGGGTTAATACATGCTGGCATGTTTTTATTCACAACTCACCTCAATAAAGATCTGCTTAGCTTCTTTGAGGCTGTCGAACCCCAGGTCGGTGGCCTCCGATGCGGATAGACTGTTGTCACCTCTCAGGTAGATCCACGTCCGCAGGTTGAAAGCCAGCTTCATTAGGGAGAAGCCACGCTTCAACTGCAGAAGTAAAACACGAGAAAGGCACGATGAACAATTCATCTGCAAGTTCAGAATACTGTTTTCTTTCTGCAGCGATAACATGCTAATATGTAGGTTTTTGAGGCTCTTGACACAAAATTTGTTTAAAAACTGGAACAGCTTTTGAAAAAAAAAAGTCCATTTCTCAGAATTATATCAAAATAATCAAACAATTCTCAGATTTTTTGAAAACTTAAAATGTGGCACACTGGGTTCCAGGGATGCAGGGTACTAAGGCCACTGTTTCTTTGAAGTTTTGAACGCCGTGGCGTATTGGCATTCTGTACACAATATGAACCAAAAAGGTTGCTTCACTGAAAACATCCATATGCATGTCTTGTATTGAAAATGTAGTGAAACATTAAACTTAAAAAGCTGACAAGAGGTTTTCCAAATTCTGGCAACTTTTGATGATGACATCACCATTGTTTGTTCACTAAGCACAGGAAACAGTGAGGCATAGATATACACGTATATCCAAAACTGGGAACAGAGAGACACTAAAACTAACAACATTAAAATTAAGTTGGACAAAAGATACAAAATGAAGGACTTTGTTTTGAGGAATTTTAATCAATGACATGGACCCTTCAAGCTTTTCAGTGTTTCTTGTTGGTGATCTCTAACAGAAGTGGACAACAGTTTCTGTATTCCGCTGCCGAGAGCCATTCTCTTGCATGCGACCATTTCGCCGCTGTCTTCAGCAACTGAAATGCAAATATTGTGTTGTCACTTTGTGAATACATTGTAATGTACAATTTTGGCTTCGCGAACTGACGCTGTGTTGCGCGCTCGCACCATGAACCCTGCCATGTTGCACCATAGTTTTGATTTTCACGCACCGTCTAGGAAACATGTAGCACGTACCCCTTTCCGTGAAAAATGCTTCAAAAGGGTTTGCAAGACCTTATTCTGTCTGGTTTCTTCTGGGGTTCAATTCAAGCAAACCAGAATTATGTGGTTCTGAAAACTGTGTGCAAATGGCCCGTGAACTAAAGCACCATCGAGTGTCAGTTACTGGTGTCAACGATGATTCTAGTATCTTTGTCTCACCCTGAATCGATCTCCTTTCAAATTTTTGCCGAGTTCCAGCGATTTCTGGCGGTACTGAATCGCTGGCTTCAGGTCTGGCATCATGCTCCGGGTCATGTAGTCATGCAACACCAACCGCTGCAATCGAAAATACAACATAGCGACGGGCCTCTCATTAGGTTGTCAAAAGATGGATCTGATCAGCCCCACCCTCTGCATAATGGGCTCAACCTCACATGCTTTGAGTACCTCCAATGCTACACTACATGCTCCAGATGCACTATACATCTGAACGTTACTGCGGATTAACTTTAAAAAATTGGAGAGGGTGCTACAGCCAAGAATTGGACTCCCCCTCCGACCAGGAAAATGGATTTTACATTCTGTGATTCTATTTGTGACTGGGCAGAAGGAGATAAAGAAAATGGCCTCTCATATGACCACAGGTGCCCACCTCATTGTGCATGGTGGCTAGCAGGTCGTACAGGAGCACCATCCGCTCCTTACGCTGTCCCAGCTTGCTCTCAATCTCCATCGACTTCTCTAAAATGGTGAAGCAAGTCTCCAGCTGACCAGCCTGCATACTGAAAAATGACATCCCATGGGGGTACTGAGGTGAATGGCTCCTTAACCACTGCCTGACGATATTATAACGAGTCGCACTTGCCCCAGATGCAGTAGATACCATGACCACAATCCCTTCTCTTTCTCTCTGAAATGTAAGTGATGCCTTACGTTCAATAGAGACAATCCACTTACATTACTCTCGCGACTTTCTCGTACAGCAGACTGAGTTCTTCTTCGTTCATGGTAGGCTTCTCCACCACCTTCTCCAGTTCAGTGACGTACAGCTTCTCCATGCTAGGCATGCCGTCCACGGCCTGCGTGCAGACAGAAGACTCAGTCAGTTAACGCATAAGCACATTTGTCATGCAGACAAGGCCACCTCCGTGTCCCTGTCAAAGCCAAGTCACAGAGTGTGACTGTAACCCTGTCATCACCAGCGCGACAGAGGCTTAGCTTTCCTTTCTGCCTCTAACCATATCTTTTGGCAATGAACAGAATTTACTTAGCAATTCTTAAAACACTGAGTTATTCTCTACAGACTGTAAAACCCCCAAACGCCCATGGTAATAACAATCTTACATTAAACCTATTCCCAACCCATCCCAAATATTGACAGCAACTTGCAATTCAAATCTACAATGGCATCTTTGCTTTCAATTAATGGCACAAAGATCTATTTATACACCTTTCAATAATCTTAAAAGTTATGTTGTTAGTTAACCATACAAAAATTGGATGCCATTTTGTGCATCTGATGTTTCTTGCTGGCTGGCCAAGATTTTGCTGTCAGCATCTCCCTTGAGTGACAGCTGTTTGTCCAAAAATGTTGAAATGCAACTTAAAAGGTTTGCTGAGCATCCATAAAATGAAATGTATATTCAAATCCATTATTCAAGATATGTCATTCTGATGTGAAGTGCTTGATGTCAATTTGGGCATAGTCTGGTTGCTCCTTTTTGAGGCAGGCGAGAGGGTAATACCTGTCGCCAGTAGGACAGCAGCTCTCCGCTAAAGTCCTCTTTGAAGTAGTGATTGAACACTTTCCAGTCCAGAAGGAACACCACCAATCGCTCCTTGTCGGCAATCTTAGTCAGGTGGTGGGGATACTCCTGATTGGTGAAATAGAGCACAAGCCATGAATATTTAAAACAAAAATAAAAATTTCCAGTCCAGAAGAGACTCCACCGATTGCTGTCAGAAATCTCAGTCAGCTGGTGGGAAGACTCCTGATTGATGGAATGGTGTATAAGTCAGGAATATATAAAAAAATTACAGGAAGGAGCCAAATACTAGTTTTCCATAGAAAAAGACAAACTGAAATGTTGAAACCTAGTAACAATAACAACATATCAGCTCAATGGGTGCACATGACAGAATAAATTAAAGCTGTTATTAAAAGATGCCAATAATTATATAATCATTCCTGCTGATTCGGCTCAGCATTCCTAAAACCATTTCAGCTCTCTGGGGTGTATAAAGCTCATTGCTGCCATTTTAGGCATCAACCACTAATTACAATAACCATCTCTGCCTAAACAGGGCCTGGTTACACTCCTGGGTGGAGAGAGGCACGTAGGGATAAACTGACTCGCCCAAGATCACAACTCATATCTACCCGCTGGGCATCGAACCTGTGACTCTATGATTGGAAGTTACAAACCCCGACCACTGGGCCACATGCTCCTAAAACATGGTGGAGTTGATGGGGTCATGAAGCAGATGGCTACAGTTCACGTACCTCAGCTTTGCGCTCTATGTTCACAACCCTCTCAAAGTAATCAGCCAGCTTTCTGTGCCACCACTGATACAGCTCGTCCACTGAGCAGCCGACTTTCATCCCTCTTTGCTCACTGAAGTACCTGCAGTTTAGTAATCATGAAATCGACATTGTTACCTTTGTTTCCTTTTTCGTCCCCTGCTCACAATGTGCAATGATTGTGACAATCTTCCAAATGTCGTATTGGCCCGCAAATTTCATGTCCTTTTCAAAGTCATTTGGAAGCATAATTGGCGATATAAATGCAGTGTATTCCAGAGCAGAATTATTTCAAAGTGGTGCATTTCTCATATGAATAACACTCATTCTGATGAAGTGGGCTTTTTGAAAATTCAACATGGAAACAAATCTCTGGTATCATGAGGAAGTGTTTAGCTCTGCAAGGAGAGACCACTCTCTAGAGGAAAAACAGAGCTGTTTGGAAGGATAAAAATTCCTCCTCAGCATAGATTATTCTCAGAGTGAACGCATACTCCTAAATGAGATTTGCTTCCTTGGCGCACCCACAATAAAACCCAATCCACCATGCAAAGATGGTATTTATTCTAGCCCTCCACAATCTCTAAATGATCATACTTAGCCCTGACGGCCTTGCTGAGGGAGCGATGGTAGAAATCCAGCCTGCCTTCCCCGCTGTCGCCGAAGGGACGCAAGAAAGGCTTGAGAGCCCGGAAGACCCTAGCCCACTTGTGGGCAGACAGTGGCCCGATATCCGATGCCTTTTTCTCCTGCGACTCTGCAGATGAAAGCAGCGTTATCACAAAGTTATTTTTACAGTCAAGTCACAAGTCAGTTTTGTAGAAGTCAAGTTACAAGTCATTTGCTTCCAAGTCAAGTAAAGTCATGAGTCATTCTTTTTAGACTCAACTCCGAGACAGACTCAACTCTGAGTCAGCAACTCAAGTCAACAACTCCAGGTTTAAATGAAAAGAAAGCCACAGGCTACAAGTAGATATGGCAAATACTGCTCACAGCTCTGGACTAAAAAAGCTAAAAAAGCCAACCAGTAAATTGGCTGGGCACAAGAAAATTCCGAACCCCAAAAATCACAAATCCAAATATCAAATGTGGTGCTTTGGACTGACTCGCTGCAAGAATCTGCTTCATCAGATTATGGTAAACAATCAACGTAATGTGTTGCTTACAGAGTCATCTCAATAGTTATCCTACACTAGGTATTGGAAACATTTCCCATGATTAATAGCATTTGTGCAACTTAACAAGCTCACGGCTTGACATAAGAGAACCAAGGTGAGCTGCTATTGCTTGTCAAAGCACACAATGATTCGTCGAAATAAGAATGGTCTGTGATTACCGGAGACCAATTAATCCTGAAAGACATTATCCAGATGCACCTTTTTGACCTTTCTCCCTTTTCCAGCCCTTCTTGGGAGGCATCAAGTTGTCCTCATCGCCGAGGATGGAGAGGAGTTCTGTCTCCAGGAGGCCGTGACAGGAGCACTCCAAGAGGCAGAGGGTCGCCACCAGCAACTCACCCCCATTCTCCTCCTCGAAACGTGTCAGGACCTGCTCCAGCAAACTGAGCAAAATAAAGAAACGCTACAACATTGAGAAAAGAAAAAGAGCGATCCCCAGTGATGGGCAAGGAATTTTAAGGTCAGGGCTAGAAGCAGGAATGTGAACCATTCTTGCACATCATGGTCTTGTCTCTGACTTGTTCATCTGCTCCAAGGTAGCAAGAGAGGGCATTCTTCACACTGCAATGGTCCTTTGGTAGGAATTTGCCGTGTGCGCACACAGGTTGATGTGGGTTTGTCACTGGATGTTCTGAGCATGTGTGGCCAAGTTGTTAGAATGTACCTTCTTTGCATATGTGCCAGACACATTTACGTGCTGTCAGCTTGACAAACGTCCCACCAGCTACTTTTCTTTGCCCGAGAGGTTAAACCTGAACTTGGGTTGTATAGCTCTTTTGCAACCTTACACACTTCAGCAAACTCAATGTTCGCATTTTAGGATACAGTTTGCTGCTGTGACAGAAAATGGACCGCATATTACAGATAAATATTTCTCAGGAGCCCTGCATCACAAAACTGGAGCCTGAAGATGAATCCAGACATAAATCCTAGGTTCGTAAAATGGTGAAGATCCCTTGAAAATTGGTTGGGAGTCTTTTTAATCATGAAGCTGGAGCCACACCAGAAACAAAGCTGCGGTTTGAGACATGGCAATTCACCAGTACACAAAGCCAGACCTGAAAAAGTTGGTAACGTTCACTGCCACCACAAAACTGATTCAGCAGTTACCATGTTTCTCTCTCTGACATAAAGAAAATGAACAAAATAGTCTTGCAACTAGAGAAAAGTGGCCAATAAGATGAAACATTTTTACAATGGTGTTGATTACAGAGTAAAAAGAAATGAAAAATTGAAGTGAACAGATGAAGTCAATTCCTGTCCATATTACCATCAACATTCTCAACCCCCTTTTGTGCCTTAAGCCACGCCCCCTTCATCAACCTCCCCGACTCCTCCAATCCAGGTTCAAACTTGCAAAGAGTAACAAACATGCAGGAGGGGGTCCAACTCACTTCAGCAGGCCGTCTGCCAGACTATTGATCTTGTCCGACAGTGACTCAAACAGGCCAAAGACCCGCAGCTCCTCACAAGCCACAGATAGCCACAGGGGATTCTGGGAGGAATCCTTGCTGAGGAGGCTAGCCATCTGCTCGGCATCCAAACGCTTCTGATACTTGCCCAGGGTCTCTTTGACGATTGCCTGGAGAGATGTTGAGAGGAAGAATGCTGTTAGTGCCTGAGCTGTCTTTAGCCAAAGTTCGGCCTCAAATTTACAGAATATCAAAGACATTCATCTTTTATGAATTAACAAAACAAGAACCTTTGCAAAAGACGTTATTATTTCACAAATGACAGTAACTCTTTGTACGTTGAGTGTAATCAGGATGAAAGTGTTCAAAGACAGACTGGTAAGGTTGTCCACATAGCATAACGCATTACTAAGAATCAACTTGAAATGCCTGGTCCTCATGTGAGGACTGTGAATTACAGGCATGTATGCTAAACTGAGATAAAAAAACTGTATAAATGGATATAGATAATGACATAACTTAGCAATAAAAGGGGGAGGGGGTTGGAATAGTAAAAGCCTACCTCCCTGGAGGGCATGTCCAGCGGTGTGACGTAGACCTCCGTGGGCTTGTTGGGTCGTGAGCGTAGGGTCTTGTGCTGGGGTGTCTCGTCGATCATGGAAAAGACGCAGCGTACCTGAGGGCTAAGCTTGCTGGGGAGCCAGTTCAGAACGGTTGATTCCTTGGACTCATCAAACTGTTGGAAAGAGCAGCTTGAGAATAATATGTGCTGTACTGCCAAACGTTCTTTCTTTAAAAATCCCTACATATGACCTACAAGTGCAAAATGCTCGCAGGTCAGTTGAACTCAGTTGTGTATGACAGTCAACGTAGCGCAGTGTCCATTGCCCATTCTGGGGCCATCTCAGCTACGTGTAGTTGCTTCAAACAAAACCCCGCTATTGGATCTTGTGGTAGACAGCAGGCTGGGATTCTGACCAGAGACTGTTTGGATTGGAATTCATGGCTGGAATTGTTGAACTGAGCAGGGCTGGATTTGTCAAAATCTAGCTTCCTGAGGCGATGCCCTGCCTCCTTCTTAAGTTAATATTAGTTGTTACTGAATACCTCTATGCCAGGCTGAGATGGCTTGGTAATATTGATGACAATTCCTTCCCCACTATTTCTTTTCATACTTAAAGCTTTGGTAATAACAGGCAATGAAAGTAGAGGAATTCGCATTGTCCACGTTAATACTGGTTCCATTTTTTGAGATAACAGCTTAGAATTATTAAGCCTGGTTTGGAATGGTAGGTCACAACTACATTTGCCTTTGGTAGGGTTTCTAGATAAAATATCTGTCACGGTTAGGGGCTAAATGAGAATGAAAAAGGAAAGCTGACTGCATGTGAAGTTGAACCTGTGATCCAAGATGTTTTGAGTCTGTGCTTGGACTAACAGTACACCTGAGGATGATGCGCAATGAAACCATCTTAGTGCTGTTAAGTCAGAAAGTCAGCTCCACGGACAACTTCTAAATGGAAAGTCAAGACACGTATCCCCGGCCCTGCTAAACCATGAGTCTTTTGATATATAATGCATTTCAGAATGGCAGGACTCTCAATGAACTTTACACCATATTATCCCTGCTCGCCAGGCCAAGAAACATTCCTGAAACCATCTCAGCTCCCTGGGGAGTGTAGAGCTCGGCAAAGCCATTTCAGGCACAACTTGGCCGAGTCAGCGGAATGACCACCTCTCCAAGAGAGGCTAGTTGGAGTAACGTGACTTACAAAGTCACACAACATATGACCGGCTGCTAGATTCGCAACCCCAGCCTTATTTGCAGCCCCATATACTCAGGAGTTACAGGTACTGACGGTTACGCCACACAGTACCACTAATGACATATCAATGATAGTTGGCCATTAAGCAGGGCCCCAAGTAGAAAAAAGGGATTAACCCAAAATCCAAAAGTGGAGCACGGGAGCATGTCATGCAGCAAGCGAGTTGCCTCACCTGATTGAGGGCGTCGATGACGATGATCAGCGGCTTGGTGTTGGGGTTGGACAGCGTGGCGTACGTCAGTTGACACGCCGTCTCCAGATCTTTGGGCATTGTGGTGTCCTGTGCGATAAAATAGCACAATATCAACAAGGTACTACACTTCATAATGACAGTATTACCTGGACCAACTTGACAGAACCACACATTAAGAGCTGTGCGCTACTGGACGATGGCTCCGCCCACGGTACGCTAATCAGATGCACCCATGTTTTCACTGGCTACCCAGCTTAGGTCACTGCTCAGTACATCCACAGAGATATATGATGAGTGCATTACCCTCGCTTTGACCGGTACATTGCGCGCAAAATCATCGCAACAGAGTTTTATACACTGAACCTTCCTGTGAGGTTTATTGCGGCTCATCTGAGTAACAATTTGATTTGTGTACTCGGTAATGAGGGCACATCTACCTTGGAAGGGTATGACGCACAGACCTTCAGCTCTGTGGCACAAGTGTCTCAGTCAAGCTCTGTGACAAAATACCTATCCATGTGAGGTTTGGCTACAATAAAAATTCACTGCATGGTGCTTGGAAAACCTTCACTATTTCCAAGGGTTTTCGCTTTTTATCCCCCATAAAGCAGTAAGTGCAAGAAATCTCCAGATTTTTTTTCCTGCAACCTGCAAAGAATTTTATACAACTGTCTGTCAGTGAGAACAGATCCTCCTGCAAACCCATGCGGAAGCACAAAGGAAGAAGTTGAAGTCAGGAGATAATGGTTGAGGCTGAGAAGGGAGGGGGGATAGAGGGTGGTTAAAAAGGTAAAAAGAAAAAGACTTACATTGACCACACCCAGTTCTTTCAGGAGGCGTTTCAGAGTGGCTTCCAGATTGGGCGAGCCGGGCACAGCACCAACAAAATGGTAGAAGACGTGCCAGCCGTGTTCTCCACCCCTGTGGGGTGAAATGTAAATATGAGATGTCTCGCGGGTGCCACCAATTTGTGAGAAATGATTATGCTCCAAACTTCTAATTAACTAGGACAGTAGACTTCTGAGCATTCAGAAATAGAATGACTAGTTAGAAAGGCTGTTACATGCAACATGGTTTTTACTACAGAACTATCAAAATGTAAAGGAGCATAGTCTATTTTCCAGTAACATCTAACGCTGCAAAGATTTGTGGCAAAAAATCCATTTTAGGAGGAGTCTAATTCAAGACATTTTACCATAGTGTGAGTGCACTAAAGTGTAACTGCATCACAAGCATCTGTGAGAAACATCACTGCCACAGCAAATCACGTCTAATGGCATACAAGTCTTCAATGTCAAATGAGATAACAGCACACATCAACCAGCAAGGTAGCCATTGTAAGTTCCTGACCGGCTCTTACCCTCCTCCTCAAAAGTTACAGAATACAATAGAGGGCATGGTGACCAGCTCATGTCCACTTGCTGTCATCTCTCAGTTCTCAACATTCAACTTAGTCCCACCTACTGTGACAGGCACTGGTTCCCAGATACGAACAGTGCACACAGACTAGTGTCATTGAATGTGCCACACTCTTGTCTTCATGGTTGGGCTACTGGGCAAGTAGCTAAGCAAGTACCAGAGATCTTTCCCACAAACTGTCCATCACAAACACATCTCCTTGAGCAAACCACCTCTGAACCCAACTACGGCACTTACCCGGGTATCTCCTTGGTGAGAGCTTTGGACACGGTCACGTCAGCTACCCTGGCCATGATGGAGGACTTGCCCGTTCCGGGACCTCCCAGCAGCAACAAGGGGACATCGATGCCTATTCCAACCACGTGGTCCTTGATCTAGACACCAATTGAGGGGAAATTCATGTATAATGTGCACAATCTAAGGGACCTAGCACACTCATGGTTTTTCTTTTTCTTTGTGACGGAAGCTGTCCTTTTCCCCTACAAAGCTTCCAAGCATATGATTTGTTCAGAGCAATGGAATCTAACAGCAATGGACAACTGGCCAAATTGGTTCAATACACTGAGTCATGGATATAGTTATTCCTCTGCTTTCCATGCACACAAACACTGGGTTGCTAGCAAACATCACGCAATATGGTTTTAAACAACATGCAGTGCAAGTTAATATTTGTGCCTTGTTCTGTGAAAATGAGTAAAAGATCAATGGACATACTTTTGAGTTAATGGCCTTTAAAAAAAATCAACAGGCCCCAACAACCTTTTTCATCCATAAAATGCTCATTTATTGCATGCCAAAATGAGAAAAACATCAAAATGAAGAAAAGAGCACAGTTTCGTCTATGAAATGCAAGCTACAACACAATTATTCGAAAAATGACTTTATGACTCATTTTCACAGAGCAGATCACATTTTGTAGCTTGAAGAACGTTCATTACAGGCAAAGTTTCGAAATGCCGGTAGTTTGTTTACTGCAACAATCTTTGACAAATTTACTTTTCCCTGATAAACAGTCTTGTGGAATTTGCTGCTTGATGATATTGAGGAAGTCTGTTTGTGGCATCTTGTCTGGAAGGTGGTCTGCAGAAACCGTTCAGATCAAAATTGGGGAGCCGCGTTGAAGCAGTGGCACATTGCTCGCCTTCTGAATCTAGGAATTGGGTTGGAATGCTACCAAAGCTGACATTTGTACTGTTTTTCAGTCACATTGTGATTATGAGAGTTCTCCAGAACATTCTCCTGAAGTTTTCCTCTCGTAAATAATCAACTTCTTCATCCTAAACCAGGTTTTCTTCGGAAATCAGGCAACACAGCCAAGTTTTTTTTAGGAATTCTTGATTAATTGCTTCATGTCAAATGGATAGAGTGTAAATCGGCCCAACAACATACCTGCTCCAGAATATCCGTCCGACCCAGGACAGACACACTGCGGTTCTTCATGAATGACTGCAGAGAAAAAAAGAACATTTTGTCATGTCAATCCTGTAGTCTCCACTCGTAAATTGCATTAAAAGGTCCTCACTGAAAACGATTACTTTAAACATGGAAATCAGGAAAGAGGATTTTGTGAAATTTGAGTATGTTGCCCCAAAATTAGCTATACGTTTAAAATAGTTTAGAACATGTTTCCATTATATGCTCCCAAGCTCTTAAAAAGACCCTTCAGAATAGTTGCCCCAAATTATGTGACAGCCCTAAGGACATTTTAATACTGAGCAGACGATTTAAGGACAGTTTTATGATTTTGTGCATTTACTTGCAAAGCGCAATGATAATTAGTTCCAAATTTTCCTACATTCTAAGGCTGTTAGAGAGGCATTACATGGGGAGGTTTAATGGATTGGTTGACTGCTTTGTGTACATAGGGAACAACGATAAAAACAGCTAATATATACCTCATGGGCCTCCTTAGCTTGCTGGAAGGGATCCAGATTGGAATCCTCCAGGGGGTACTGCTTACTTATCTTCTTCTTGAAGAACTCAAACACCTGAAACAGATATTGGTAAGTATAAGTAAATCTATGCAAATACATTGAAATTTATTTAAATTGGGTCAAATTCATTTGAATATAAGAAGCCACAACAAAGACAAATCCAAAACACATATTTTTTAAAATGAATTAATCTGATTTGTAAGCGACTATGCATGGTCTGCTACCAATGCCCACTGTTCAAGGAACGACCTTTAATTTTCTTGCACCACATGTGGTTCTAACGATCCCATTGCCGCACCAAGCACTGCAGGCTTGGTAAAACTTGAAATGACATCACATCAACCGACCAAATAGGAACAAAAATGTGTGATCCAAATTCCTATTTTTGCTAGACAAGGGCAGTACTCACCTTGGCTCCTAACGCTTTGTCAAGTCCCTTGAATTCTACCTTGCCTTGATCGTCCACACCTTCATATTGACACTTGTAGAAATGGACTTGGTCTCGCTACACAGGGACACACAGTAGTCTCATTATTTCACTTCATCTCAAAATATAAAAACTAACTATTATATCCCGAAACCAACCACACATGATTAAAAACAGAATTTACTTTGTTTCCACTCATTCAAACCAAAAATTTCTTTTATATGTGATGCAATTGAATAGCTCATGATGAAGTTTTCATCTGGCATCACTAGTACCAGACAGACAAGTCTTTTCCCTGACAATGACCGAACACATCTCTGTCACCTAATTGGTGAATTGTTAGTTAACTGTTGCGAATGTTTTTTTCAAACACATGGCTTGGTTACTCTGACAAAATAAAACATTCCATAATGTCACACTATTCCTGACACTACAAAGTGGCTGGTCATGCAAAATAGGTGATGCAGGAATTTGTTTGAGTGGAGATTTACTCAGACGATGGAGGAAATTTTTTTTTTGAGATTTGCACTGTAATTTGTAAAAAAAATAAATGTTTCACATTCAGGCAATGGAAAGAGGAACTACAAAAAATAAACAACTGCGTAACATTAAACCCAGGAAGGAACAACTTCATTCAGACGGAAGTTGAAATCGAACATTCAATTGATCACCTCGCGGAATTGTTTTTCTGAAGTACTAGACCACAAATCTGTCTCTTACCCCAAAGCGCTCACTCAACATCTGCTTAAGCATCTTCAGCTTGGCTGGCGCGACAGGGTTGACGTCCACAAAGTCCTTGTGATGTGACCTTGGAACGCTGTCCAAGAAACTCGAGTCTCGGATCATGAAGAGTGCTGGGCAAGATACAAGATGACATTGTTCATTTACACACCCCAGGTTCCCCCTGGACACAAAAGGGGTATTTGAAACTGCATTCTTGCGTGACTTGCAAACGACATTTTTAAGCTGCCATTTATAAACATCTAAGTTGAGTGCAATGGGGCGAAATTTCAATATGACAGCAGCCGCATTAAAACACCAAATGAAAAGATAATAATATCAAGGAAATGCTACATGCGAACACATCCTCAAACACCCTGTTTTTGTCAATATCCAGTTTTATTTCTCAGCTCCTGGATATCAAGCTTTTGCACGTCTGCCAAACTCTCACACCAGGTCTCCCTGTCCATCGGATCAAAGCCTGCCAAATGGCCTCTACTGTTGCCGCAAACAAGTCTCGTCAACTTACAGTTGAAGTTGTCCTTTCGGTAAGCCCCGTGCATGATCTCCATTTCGGTGACGGACAATCCGTGGATCCAGCGGTAGTCTGAGGCGATGGATTCCGGAACCTCCATCTGGTTGGGTATCCAGCCACAACGCTCGCTACACATGAGAAATAACGACATCAAAGACAAACCAGATAAAATGTTAAAATCAAAGGAAGAAAAGTGTCTATATTTCTTCCCTCTGAACATGCATTAAATCACTCAGTGCCGTCTACAGCCTGTTTGCACTGATACCATACATTTCTCAAAAATCTCTTTGATCCATTATCACTGCGGTAATGCTGCTTACATGGACATGATAGACATTATTTTCTAAGGCTGCGGCTTTTTCTGGTGGCATTCTAAAGGCAAAATGCTAGCCATATCCACAAAATATCTGACTTGACTGAGGCTTTTTAGACTTGATGGTAATGTGAAGGAAAAAACTGGATGCATGCTCTCACTGTGGTGGCTGTAGTAACAGGCAATGCGGCAAGGCCTCAAAGAGGATGGACCGTAAACAATTTGATAGGTGTGATCTCACTGCAATTTCCCTGACTGTCAGTGAAATGACCATCAACTGATGCATTAGATCTGGGAATGTGTTTTGGGAGATATCTTTTCATGTTGTGGGATATTTAAGTTAATTTAATGAATGCCCTTTTCTTTAAGCAAACAGCTGTACAGCTTCATGTACATCTGGCCGAGGAATGAATGGAAAGAACTAATGCGATTGGTAAATCAGGAAAAACATCTCATGAATAATTATGCAGAAGTTACAGATGAATCTAAAATGTATTAATTAAACAAAACATTTAACATGATAACAATCACGTTAATAAATTTACTTCACAAGGTTGACACCAGAAATTTTCACTTTCATCTCAGCAAAACACAAAAAAGATAAAGACTTCACACTTTGATTACATGTGCACTTTCCATCGGAGGTTTGATGGAATGTGTCCCACCTCAGTGCCACAGGAAAGCACACATGTACAACAAAGCGTGACAAAATTAGGCTTAGTAATCATGCGTTTCTATGGTTACATTTCTGGCAGCTGTGCAGTGACGCATCCAGATTTGGGATGAGGACAAATGGCAAATTTTTAAAGAAAAAAAACAACACAGGTCAAAACTTTTCAAGAGCTCCTGACAACTAGAAAGTGCTGGTTCTACTAGGCGAAGCACAAAAATGGCAAAATGCTACCCTCGACAATTTCTTCTGGATACACCACTCAGATCAATTTACTTGTAAAGCAAGGTGACTGTCGCCATACAAAAGAATCAGCATTTTTCTACATGCATTAAATGGTTAAAAAGATACATGTACATGCATCAAGCACATCACTGGCTCTGTTTATTAATATGGCACAAGCTTTTAAAGTAAAGCTGAAAGACACCTCATTTGAAAAATGGGGTAATTCTGCAACGTGACATGCATTTTTTGAAAAAGTTACATAGCAAGCCAGGCAATTCAACAACATACAACAGAACGTGAACATTTCCGGCAAAGGGAATTGCATACATGTAAGAGTTAAATATGAGAAAAGAAACCAAACTAAAGCAGGGAGAAATGACCTTTGATTTATGCAATGAAGCAAGCAAATGCATTTCGCACCTGTTTAATGATGCAATTATTCGTTCTGTCATAAGAATATTTCTGTCCAAGATACATGTACAAAGTAGCAATGCTGTAGTCGGGACCATCACAGGCACTGACACGAGACCATTTACAACAAACATCACAAGTCCAATCACAAGACCAGTCACAAGGAATGCTTTTATTACTGTTCATTTGAAGTGCTTGTGACTTAAATTGAAACTGGATGTCTTGCACTGGTCTTATTATGGTTTATATGAACTAGTGGTGGTCTTGTGCAGTCTTGAGCTGGTCTAATGATGACCTTGAAGGGATCTTGACACAAGACTTCAACTATCATTCTGTCATCAAGACAGCAATGAGAAACCAAACGAAACAGCAAATTGAAACTCCCGAAATGGGTGTATGGGCTACATGTACGTGTACCCAAATCCAATTGCTTGTGAGTTTGTGCACATTCCGACAAAAATTGATCATGTCTATTTCTTGTTGCAAAGACAGTGCACACACGCAGCATGTCCTAATCACCAGAGTTGCATTTAAATCACGTATGACAAACATTGACTGTCTTGTTCAAAACATAATGAGAGGCCTTCCAGAAACGTTTGCAAGAACAAAATAGAAGTAACAGAGGGTCCATGCTTGCAGGTGTGTTTAGAAATATACAGTACGTGAGTGCCTTAGATGGCATTGCATTGTGGGACAGTTTTTTGTTGGAAATTTTGACTGGCTTAGAGGGCTTGGTGTGCTCCTAAACATTCTGGATGCTAAAAATAGCTATCGCAACACGTGTGTCCTTCCTATGACAACCAAACAAAAATGGGTCATGCATTGCAATACAAGATTAAATGTTATAACTGTACAATGCCAAGCTATTGAATCTTCATCATTAATTATCAACACTAATACACGGCAGCGGTCTTATCACCCAAGCATGCATCAACTTAATTAAATCGTGCTCTGCTTTTGTTAATAACTATTTTAATCCAGTAAAATACTTATTCAGAGAGAAAAAATATTAAAGCATGCATTCCGCACAATGATTGGGCAAACACATTGTGATGGAGGAATGCTGTGAGAAGAAATGAGATAACAATTTGTGTCTGCAGAACAACCGGTCTTGATGAAATTTTTGGATTTGACATGAAAGACATGAACGAATTTGGTTGAACGAAGAAAACACAATGAACCACGACATGAACAAAAACTGCCACACTGGAATTCAAACAAACTGCCAACCGTGGTTAATCTCCAACCGGCAGTATGAGGCTGCTGACCAACATAAAACTTCTTGGTAAAGTTTATATAAGATAAAAAAAACCCTCTTACAGGCACACTGAATGACAAGTGTCTCAGTGACATTCAAGCCAGAAGCTTCCTAGAAATTCCTACCATCCAATGATGAATCTGCCCAATTTTTCCTTGTTTTTAATTTCATATTGCAAAAATGGAAAGCAGACTTAAAACTCTGAACTTCATACCCGTCAATGGTTCCACAAAGAGCTGGGAAAAGACTAGGGCTGAAAGACAAAGAGGAAAAACGGCAATCTAGAGAGATGTACACCAGGATCCCACTGAACTCTTGAAATGCCAGTGTTAAATTTGTTGCATCGTCTCTGACAGATGCCTAGTGTCATTTTTATTGGCCGTGTGTCAGGCAAAGATTTTGGTCAGTATTTGAAAAACGCTTGTCAGCATTTGTCTTGAGGCAAACCGCTCCGAGTGAAACAAAAGAGGACGTGTTTTTTTTTAGTACTCACCACATAGGAGCGCCATGAGGCACTCAAGTATATGCACGTTTCATGTGGAGCACGCTGAGTACGTGTAACTAATTTACTCCAGCATGTACAGTATGGTCTTTGCGTAAGCATAGAACGCGTGCAAGAACCCACCTGTAACCACCTGTCCTTTGTTTGCCGATAGGGGGTGCACTTCAGCTCAAGGTGGAGAGGGAATGCTTTTTTTAATACTGATAAGGTGTCCAAAGTGGCTGGCAGGATATCTAGAAGATGCCAAGGTACCCCTCTAGCTAAAAAAAGTCTGTAATTTTGATTGTGACATATTATGTCACTCACATGTTATCTTGGCAAGGCACGCAATCTGTCAAATAATATCTCCCATTATCAAGAGTCAGTGGGAACCTAGTGGTCACACAGAGATTCAATGAAAGACTGACTCACATACATGTACACAGTAACACCTCTACACTACATGTGAAAATGGATAAAAAAGTACAAATATTCATTATTGGAGTCCAGCAAATACAGGTATGACAATGTTGCACAAACCCGAATATCAGCATTCTCCCAAGGGTAATGCACTGTCTCTTTGAAAATGTCAGAGTCAAATATCCAAGCAATCATATGCGAAATATCAAATCGGGAAACAACGTTGATTGCTGCAAAAAACACTATTCCCCTTTTCACCTATGTACATACATATAAATCTGCTTTGAGAAAAGTGATTGAGTAGGAGTCTACGATCCATTTTATACAGGTGTACTGTCATTTTTTTTTTTTACCTTGTCAAATTGAGGAAGAAGGGCATAACGTTGTCTTGGTAACACCTGTCTATCTCCCCCAGGCATGTCCGCAGCGTCTCTTCTGTCGTGGTGTCCTTTGGCACCCCCTAGATAAATTGAAGTTGGAATGGGAACCAAAAAAGTAGATGTAAAAGCGTTTGAGAAAAAGATGACAGCGGCCTCTCTCTATTGAAATGCTGACTGCCGGTGTTTGTGTGAGAAATCCCGGTTGCTACTAGATCCCCCTCCGAAATGTTTTGGAGTTAACCCTACAGGAGCTGAGGGAGTGGGATGGAATCTGCCCCCAACCTTTTCCCAATATCTCCACAATGCATTTTTTCAGGAGTTGAGCCTTTAGGGGTTTTTAGAGTAACTCTTTGGCGGTCATTTTGACATCAGTTTTGTGAAAAACGGACAAACCGTTCTTGTGCAGCACCAGTCTTTCTAAGACTGGTCAGCCAAAATACACATTTTTTCCACCGCGGTGCTCAATGCACACGGGAACGTACGCATGTCGCCTTGACCTTCAAATGACCCAAACAACAAAACCATACATTTGACTGACTTCAAACTTCCCAGGAGTGTCTTTATATGCACGGCAAGTTTCAACCAAATCGAGCGAGGCACAGCGGAGTTCTTGGCTATGGGAAGATGGCCGAAAATAACCTGTCTCTTTTAGGGTTAAATATCTGCTGCTACTAATGTACCTTGATGACCCACTAACTTCTTAAGTGGGTCCACAGTAATAGATTTTGCCTCCGTCCCATTTCAGAACTTTTATTCTTCCTGACCAATTTAGCACTTGAAGAACATGGCAGATATCAAGAAAACGAAACGGTGACTCATGAACATTCAGAAATATTATTACACAAATCAATTAAAAAGAGCTGGGACTGCCGTTTTCTGGTGGGGGGGGGTGCCCCAGAACTCAGCTGTCCCATGCCTGATCTATTTTTAACATACATACCCATCGTAGGTCACAGTCCACAAGATGAAGTCTCCGCTTCTCACACCACACACGCAGATCAGGAAACACCTAGGCAGCAATGTTAAAAATGTCAGTATTGTTTTTATAAATCAGCCCTTCAGATAAACCAGGTACAATCCCTTGAAAAAAATGGCAATCCTTACATTTAGGATACCTCCACATTTTTATTTCAATTTTTCAAGAACTCCTTTAATGTGTGTGTACAAGTCTAAAATGACCTTTGCAGCCTTCAAAAGTCTTTCTTTGACACAGCTGAATCACTGAGGCATCATTTCAGGGGAGAATGTTGAAGAAATTGTGAAATTCTTGCCAATTTGGCAGTTGAAACATGCAGGCCTACTACATGTAGTAGCAGGGTGCTTAAATACACGACTGCCACAAAACAATCAAGCTGTACCCACACTGTACCTCTTTGACTAATATTTCCCTCTCTGCGTGAAAGTCCCTGAACGTAGATGACACAAAGATCCGGACAGTTTTCCAGCCAGAGCGTCGGATGACCAGGCTTTTTTCCTTGTTGCGCTGGATGTCGATGGTGCGGCTGACCTGGTCCCACATGGTGCTGATGTCGGCCTGGTAGCTCACTGTTGCGTTGGAGGAGCCGCAACCCATGGCGCTAAGATTGAGGAGAGAACAAAGGCCAGTGAAGGTAATATTTGTTCGGAAAATCTTGTGACCAAATGCAAGTGACTGTCATGACATCACATTCAAACAGAACCGATCTCTTGCTCAAAATTTCAGTTCTGATAAAGTCAGAGCCATTACTGACGAAAGCTTTTGACAACTTTCATAGTCTGGCAGCGTACTTGTTATAATTCACCCTGTTATGGATTCCCGTCGTCAGCGTCATGAAAGCCTACATGTAAGTATCACACTCGATGGGGCTGAGTCAATTCAAATAATTCACTTTTCGAATATTTGACCTTCAATTTGATAGAATATCTGAATAGATTCGGTCTAATTGACAGGCAGAGATACATGTACTGTACATGTATATACAATATTAGTTGCAATAACATACACACTTGCACATTATAATCACTATAATAGTTTCTCATGCCTAGGAGTATCTCCAGCCACGATTATTTCATTGAAATATTCAAATTTGGAAAAAACATTTGAATATTCAATAATTGATAGAATATTTGGATATTCAGCACAGCCCTAACAAGATGCCGCTTATACTGAAATGAAGCAACCTGTACCGTTGTATCTGTTCATCGTTTGCAATGAAAGCTTTCCTCATGTTAAAGACTTGAATGAGTAGTGTATTACCGTCCAACATTCCTTTAGTACATGTATGAGGTGTATGGTTTTAAAACACAGTCAAGTCTTCAGGGTGTGGTATGTCGGAAAATATTATTTGTTTGTTTAGTGAGATCATAAAATCTTCCCCAGCTAACCGTAGATGTAAATGCAGTATCACGCATCAAAATACTTTGCTAATTATCAAAATGGACAAGGGAAGACTTTTTATAAGGCAAAGTGGATGAAATAATTTACAGCATTGCGAAAACGGGAAGCACACACAATGAAATTATCATCAAATACATTCTAGAGTATAAAGCATTTCCTCACTGCTGCAGCATCAAGTTGGGATACAGGAAAAAAGTTTCATTTATGCAAAGCTGGAAACAAAGTTTAACAAATCAACCCCGGTTGCTTCCGTGTCGTCATACCGAGACTAAGTAAAACAAAGCAAAACAAAATAAACATATTAAGCATGTATATATATTTGAAAAGGAGGTGGGGGCAGGCTTTTCCCCTTTTTTTCTGCTTTTCAAAATAGCCACCATTGCTGTCATTCCCTACACAGTGTTTTCACCCACCTTTCAGAAACATAAAAATGAAAGACACAGTTGGACGGGAGGACTGAACACACTTTTAGTGATCTATATAGTTTGCTTATGGTTTGTGAATCAGTTTTAAAAGAATTAAAAACACAGCTGCTTCTGTGGATGTGGTTTCAATCGGCTGCTTAGTAAGCAAGTATTCAGACATGGAATGAAGAAATGTTGGGAGACAACACGGATGATTAAATGATGCGGAAAGTAAACAACAGAGGCAGGGTCTAAAGTGAGAATTTCTTTCTTAAAAGTTTTATGTTTTGATGGATTGGTTGATTTGCTTTGGTTCTTTTCACCTCATTTTTCCTGTTTAATTAATTTTACACCTGCATCACTTTCAACTTCCATTTGAAATGCCTAGAAGTTAATACTTAATGCAATGTCCAACTGGGAGACAGGAAATGATGACTGCTTGCACACCTTGCCCCCAGAGCCATGCCGCTCCACTCGTCCGAAATGCGTGAGTCTTACTGGTTCACTACTTTGGCTATCTGAAGTGAACGTGAGTTTTGTGAGTCAGCACCTTGCGGGCTCAATTTCTGCATATACATGTATGTATGTGTATTTCAAAGGATAATGTGCCCACTGTATGTCATGTGTAAATTGTTGTTTTAAGCGTATTACAGCATGAAGCCCTATGCATTTTGCATCGCACAATTTGTGATTTATTTCAGATACTGCGTCGCAAACTGCGATGTGACACAGGGGAAATCGAACACTGATCCCACTGTGAAAATATGAGTTCTGTTCATTTTCAAATTTAGGCCTACGTGCAGGATATATGTATGTTGTGCAAGATTTTTTGCCAGTTCCACAAACAGTTTCAGATTATGTTACAATGCAAGCTTTCAGAGTGCGTGTGGTACATTCTGTGTTGACAAAACAAGATCTACCATACAGATGGCGAGGTTTTTGGAACTGGCAAATGTTTGCGGAACCGGGCAAACTACTGACCACCAAAGAAAGATTTTGAATTCACCTTCATCATGTTCATGACCTTCGTACTAAAGGTTATTGTCAAAGAAGGGCAGGGTTTTGAGGGATATTTTGAGGGGAAACTGTGAGTGTTTTAACACTTGCCACATGGTGGATTCAAATTTGCATAGTTAGTTAACCAGTATGAAAGTCACATTTTCAAAAGCCTCTTCAAAAAATGGTCAAGAGAGGAGTTCTACAAATGGCATTGAAGTTATACATGTTTCTAGAAAACTCTACGGCATTCACTGAATTAATGACGACTGCATTGTCCATGGTGAATTAATATGGTTGGACTAGCAATTGGGTCAAAGCAATACACAACTCTGTACACATCGTTCTGGTAATTGTCAATGCATCCAGACGGAAGCCCAAGTACAGATAAACCTTGGTAGGCCGTGGAAGGAAATTTTGTGGAAACATGCTCGCTTCAAGTACAAGCAAGACAACATAAATTAAATTACTAAGATAATAAGTTCTGTGGATTAACTTGAAGAAATCTTGGAACATTGTTGTTTTTTTCAATGCATGAGGTCCCCACGGGATGAATAGACTGGTTGCCACATTTCGTGCATGTGCAAGTAAGCATACTAGGGCGAACATAGATTGCGATGGAATGCATGGAGTTTTGCAAAATTTCCTGCAAAGTACGTTGTCGCTGGCATATTTAGTAATCTCAACACAGCATTTATCAGGTCGGGGACCAAACCACAATCTAGTGACGCCCCTAGTTTATGCTTATATTGATTGTTTGAGCAGCAATGACGTCACGTCACTTTTATCAAGTCACGTGATAATGATGTATCATGTAATTTTCCCACACGATTTTGAAAAAAATGACGAGATTTGAAATGCTGGCAGCCAACATGGCCGCCGTTGCCATTGGAGTCTATGGCAAAATTGTTTCCGATCGCTATAATGGAAAATCACCACAGTAAACATAAAATTTGCAACAGTGAATCGATGTCCAGATATTTTTAATGGCAACATTTTCAAGCATAAAATAAAATTCGGCAAAGCTTTATTTTTTTCGCATAAACGTTTTCATCGGCAGAATTGGACTTGCCTGCCCACCAAATTTGACACATCTATAGCAAGATTTGACCAAAATCAGAAAAGTTGTTTTGCGAACTGCATTAAAAACAGAAAATGAACTTACTACACGTGCTGGCTACTCTTTCAACAGACCTAGGCTACTTTTGAATTCTTATCTTGAAAGCGTAATGACCTGATGACGGCATTCACCCAACCCAATCGTTGCTACGATATGAGCATACAAATGATAATAGTCGGGATCTCCAATAGCGTTTATGTATTTTCTTTCAAGAAGTCTAGGTATGAGACTTAAAAAGGGCGCCCTCGTGGCTTAGGATGAGCGAACCTCAGAGCGCCCTCACAAATTATGGGGTAATCCCCCGTGTAACATGAATGTTTTTATGTACATAATCGACGTGATCGGTACATGTATGTACATGTATGTACATGTAAGTATATGTAGATGTACATGTGATCTGCTGAGCTCAGCCATGGAGGAAGCTTGAAGTTGATGGAAACAAGACCAGATCAGCTGACAATTCACTCTGGAAGGTGGTATCTGTTCATTGTTATGACAGTGAATTATTGCTGATCTCCAATTTCCAAACGTTTCTTTTTTTTGGGTTGGTGTGAATGTGATGCATGGTGATGTGTCCTCTGCTCTGGATGCTTGCCGACTAGATACAGAATTTGATTGGGATGGTAAGGTGTTCGAAATACCTTTATCAAACGACTGTCAATGAGAAACATCAAAAGCTCAGAAAGAATTAAAGTTACAGTATAAACCCAGGTCAGAGAAGTTTACAAATAGACAAATTGCACAATTAACAAAAGAGCACCAAGGAAAGACACTAAAATTGTAAAAAGAAGCAATTAGAAGAGAACGTTTGACCTAGGACACAGGCAAGAAAGCAAAAGGAGAGCCTTGGAGAGTCCTGGTGAGACAAACTGGGGGGGGGATAAATTTCGTACAGATTTTGAGAAAGGGAGTAGAGGATTAAGGGGAAGAGAAGGGCTTAAAAACTGCACGAAGGGGAATAATGCGTCAAAACATTTATAAAGAAAACCTAGGAATAATAGGTATGTGACATTGGTAAGAAGGGAATCAGCAACCTAACCACAAAAATTTTATATTCATTAATATGTAATGTTAAAAAAGCTAAAATTTGATCTGAGGCAGCTTCTGAGCAAAGATAGATGTTAATTAAAAAACATTACAGGTAAAAATGCAACAAGTCAAAAGGGTAGGGTAACTGCATGCACTGGCTTTCATATATGTACATGTACATGTATAATGACTTATCAACATGGAATACAACTTAAATTACCTGCATATACGATTTTCCTTGAAATGGCTTATGAGCCCAGTCTCCATCACTGTCATGACCACAGAATATGGTATATGAGGCATTCACTACAGTTCTTGTGATGTCTGTCAGCAGAGACTTTATCAACCTCTTTGTTGTACCAGGCATAAGGGCAGACATGGCTGATATGAGGTCAGGTGAATAGTGACCCAGTGCCCCCACCTTGAGAGTTATCAGATCCACCCCTTCGAAATGCTTGGAAAGGTTGGCCACTTGAGCCTGGTATTTATGGTTTTGCGAGCCTTGGCACTGGCCATGTTGGCTATGCTATTATTTGGAATGGCCAATTCTCCTATTATGCGCCAGGAATCTCCACTTTGCAGAAAAAAGTCTGGTCGTAGATTAGTGGTGCAAACTGCAATAGGAATGGTGCTCTGTTCAGTTATCAGCCCAGGCCTATGATTGTGAGTTGTGACTGTGAGGGCATGTCTGATGTAGGAATAATATCGATTTGTGTGTGCAGAATTTTAAACCTTATGGTAGAGCTTTTTGTGTTATGCTGTAACGTAGAATATTGAGGTTGTGTTTCAGCTTTGTAATATATCCACTAGCTATACTTTCAAACCTGTTAGTGTTACACGTTAGTGTGGGTGCTGACATGACGGAACCTACATTGTACCTCCCCCCAAATGTGGGCTTCAACGTCTGCTGCCGGGAGCGTGGAGGACGTTTAACCGTGCTGTTCTGGGGGGTAGATTTAACCCACTTTCTTTGCCAGAACCCTCCCCAACATGCCTAAAATGAATCACAGTCATGGAGCCTGAGGTGCCCCTTTTCAAACATGTTTGGGTGTACAATTCTCAGTAATGGTGATGGCCTGGTTTTGGAATTCTTCCCTGGACTACACTTACCTCAGATTACTGCTGGGACAAGCTTAAGGACTGGCTTCATTATCGTCTTTTGTAGTCATATTTTTACAGATCATTCACTTGGTCGCTTTTCCTTTCCATTAGATCTGAATTGTTCCCTGGATGTCATGACAGATCACACCTTTTCCCTGAACGATGGTGCGACTGATCAAGAGGCTCATATGCCATCTCTTCCTTGTTCTTCTCCTGGCCCTGGCAGTGTTTTTCCTGTTTCTGTGTCACAAGATGACGAGCAAAAGATGCACAAAAGAGGGTTCCCTTGCTATTCTACGCAAGCTGGTACTGTTCTCAAATTATCTTTGAATAGGTCTGCTTAAAATGTTTCAATGTTCCACATTTTCTGCCGAACCTCCTGAAAAAAGCCAACACCCTGATTTTTGAGAAATCTTTTTATTTTGCAATGTAAGTCCTACAATTTTTTTCAAAAACATGATCCCCATAACTGCTTCAGAGCTAATGCAGTCAATATTAATTTTCCCACTAATGCTGTTCTGGCTTATTTGTGGATAAAACCATCAACATTACTTTACGAAAAAATTTGGCACCTTTTTACGTGCAAATGTTATTTCCATATTCATGAGCAAAAACTTTGATGCTGTCCCAGGGGAAAACTTGGTGGTCCATTGATTTGTGCACAAGAAACTGCTGGAATTTCTGTCATACTGCTGTCCCAAGTTCCTTCTCTATGGGGTGATTTATTGTTTCATAAGTGCATGAACATGTACATGGCAATGTACGCAAATGAGCAAATCTTCCTCAGAAAATGTCTTCAATGAATCTATGATCTGAAGAAAATTAATATAACCTGAACAGTGCCTTCCCTGATTGAAATCATGACAACAGCATCCTAAGTTGTCCACAAAAGCTTGGACAATACAAAATTTCTAAAAAGCATGCATTTTCAGATCCGTGTTCATCTTTCCCTTTGATGTGAGCATTCAAACGCGCAAATCGTCGGGATCTCCAAAAGTGGTGATATCATTTTGTACCAAAAGCTTAGCTACATGTACATGTATGAGACATGACATCAGTTTGGATGCCTTTGACATCCAAAATGATGTCATGTAATTTTTCGTGTGAAAATTTCATTGTACTGTGTTCTCATTCTCCAGTGTGCTTTGTATGCTGTCGGCAAAGTTGACGGCAACTTCTGCCCCAAGATATGCAGCTCCAGTTCCTTCCAATACGAGAGGTGCTTCAACCGTGTGGAGGGTAAGAAGGTCATGGAGGTCATGGTGGATGATCGCCGTGCAGTGCTCAAATCCCGCCACGCCAACTTGTCAGAATACGAGCCGCTTTTCCAGGGGTTACTGAACGAGGATAGTGGTGCAAAATCCTCAGATCGGCTTATGACGCGGGAGACGTTTGCCAGCGTGGTGCATGACCGTATCCAGTCGACCTTTGGCATCAAGTTGGACGTCCGTAAGGAAGAGCTGCTACGTCGTGTCTTGGTTGGGCCCGGCCACATCTCTGAGGACTTTACCACCATACAGATGAACAGTCTCTGGGCATTGTTGCAGCAGGAAGAATACCTCTTTTTTACTTTTTTCAAAGAAAAGTCCTTCTTCCCTGAAATTTATGGTGCATGTGGGCATTTTTACGTGGAGGAATACTTTCCTCCAAGTGCCATCCTACAACAATTGCCATCGCACGGCGTACTGGAACGGTACCAGTCTTCTTCCTGGCAGATGCGTGCCAAAGCTGCCATAGGTTTACTTGATATTGTCAGAGCTACAGAGACAGAGTTCAAAGACATTCTACATCTCTGTGACGTGAAGCCAGAGAATTTTGGCATAGTAGACTCTAGAGTGAAAGCCATCGACATTGACATCAGTTTCTTTGATAACACAATGCGCAACTTCCTGGAACAGCCTGACTGTACGAGTGATAAAGACTGCGACTTCTTTGACTGTCACGGAAAGTGCAACTTGGCAGTTAAGAAATGTACCAGGGAACGGAAAAACAACAACTTCCAGGTACAGCACTTGTCCTTTTTCCTGCCAATGTCCCCACACGCCTTACAGGACAAATTCAACACATGCCACTCCGTGCTGTGTCAAAAATCAAAGCAATCTCTATCCACCCCAAGTTGAAGTACAGGTACATGTATATGTGTACACTTCTTAGCAAAGAAGAAATGGATAGGGGGATGTTTGTTGGCCAAGCTCATGCACACGCTCGAGGACTGTACATTCAAATAGCTACTGGTCAAGCATGCTCCACGGTGTTGGAGTAAACGCTTCGATCCTCAAGACTAAGGCCAAGGATCTGATTCTCAAGGGTAAGGCAGAGGCCTACATGTAGGCTTTGACCCACAAGCCTTAAGGCTATCAAGGCCAAGGTGCTAAAATCAAGCCTTAAGGCAGCCTTAAGGCCAAGGCTCAGCATCAAGGAACTACATCACAGATGATCAGTGCATCTTGACCAATTGTGCATGAACTTGAGCCTGAAAGTGGCAAGTTTCCACCCAAGGACCACTGGTGGTATGCAAAATCATGCCCTCTATTGCTCCTGTTCGGAGTAGATTTCATCTGTGAGAAATTAACATTGTACCTTACTTTCTCAGCTTGAGCACACCGGAAAGAAAGATTTCAAATCCACTCCCAGGTTTTTTTTGGTGGAGGTGTCAAAATTACTCATCAAAACCAGACTTCACAAATTTATAAATGAAACATTTCTTCATTTTTTGTTATCTAGTACTCATTGCGTGTCTACTGGTCATTCCCTGGTTTAAAAAGTATGAAAGTTCCTGAAGTACATGTTTGTCCAGAATCGCAAGGAAAAGCTAAAAGTATTGTGTACGAGGGCATCTTAAACTGAAGGCGTTCCATTGGAGGACAACAGTGATTTGCATTGCATTGTTTACTTTCCTCAATAAACATCTTTGGCCTGAGTGACCTACCTGTGCAAGTCAAAGCAAAATTCTGACATCTTGTTTGAACTCCTCGTTTCCCTGTAGGCCATATGTAATGACGTCTTCCTTCGCAAGGTCACCAGTCCTGGTCTTCTGCGACACTCACCTCCGAAAATCGAAGAGGAAATCTCCCAGCTGTTACAGAAGTGCGTCTATCCGGATGAGGGGGAAAGAGTGGCCAAGGGCTCAACCACAGAGACATTCCAAAGGCTTTACAGGCTTCTATCAGACAGTATAGAGCGGGGAGACCAATAGTCAGACAGTTAAATATTTCAGTCTGTACAACACCTGAACATGAAACAAATCCCTGTCATCGAGTTGGGAGATTAGTGATAACGTGCCATCGAATAATTCGGTGTATTCAACGGTGCATACTTTGAACAACGGTGCGACCATTGAACATGCTTGTAAAATATTCTTTTGGATTGTGCACATGCTTTGTGAGCATAGTCACTGCTTGTTGCACAATGAACGTTTTACTGCATGCACACAAGGTAGAGGGCAGTTACAGCTCGTTCACTCAGACAAAAATTTAGTCACAGGTTAAAATGTGAAAACTTTGTTGCACTTTTGGGACAAGCTGCGGCAGCTTGCATGCACAGAGGATTTACTCACGTGTTATATAAAAGGTATTAATCTTTCCACACTTGTGCAGTGGAAAGACTAATTCCACAAGGTGACCGATTCAGCGTGTCATGCCACCCGGCCATTCAATCTATCACTCCATAAAAATGATCCTTACCTGTGCATTTGTAAATGTTTATTTATCTGTTAAAAACTTACAATTAAGAAACAAGACAGGGTTGTACTGTTGAAGAAAGACAACAAACCTTTCCTGGTGAAAAGTTTGTTAAATGTTTGGCTACTTCCATGTATGCAGATCTGCCAACCTTTCCATACTCCTTCCTGAGGTCAGGCATTACCACACAAAAGATTAAAAGGTATTTAAATGAACCTTGAGATCATTCAAAATTTTAATCTATTGTGTGGTAATGGGTGACATCAGGAAGGATTAAGGCAGGTTGACAATGGTTGACTGGTCCCTGTATGCCACACATTACCAACGCACTGGCAGTTGCATGAAGTCTGCATCAGCCTAATATTTTTTTGCCAGATTGAAAAAAAAAAATTGACCCCATCTTTTCAAAACTAGGCTGCAGGGCTTTAAGCCATTTTCTGGAAATTTTGTATTACACTCAGGAACACTGCGTATTTCACAACCTTCATTGGCCCATCTACATGTACCAAAGCTGTCTACAGCCTTTTAAAAAACTTTTGATCACTTGATGTACATGTATGACAGGTTTACTGAGGTACAGAGGAATAGTTTGAGAATTCTCCGATATTAGTCTGAGAATGTGCTGTAGAAAGGCCTGGTTTTACAGTAGTTCAGGAGGTGTTTTTATATAACTTACACACCGATACTTCTCATTTGATTAGCGGAACTCACATCTTGTGACGCTCCTATTTACTTACTGTTGAAGAGTAGATCCATTATTTATTACATTATTCACTCCGGGGCTGAGATAGTCCCATTTGCCCATAGCGAATGGAATTTACTATTCAACAGTTGGGGTCAACCTTGTTCCATATCCAACATTATTTTTCCATGAAAGACAAATCCCGCGACAACAGTAATGCCATATCACTGGTCATTTCCAATGGCCCCTACTGATGGCGGTAAGCACTATAACTACAGTAATGTATGGAGCCACTGTTCCTGGCAGTCATTCCAAGGAAAACTCGTCACAGTGCTTTCCACCATTAGAAGGGAGCCTTTGGGAAATGTCCAGTGAAACCTCACTGGATTTGTTGATTCCCGTAGAATTTTAAAGTTTTCGTGAAGTATTTAATACACAAGTTCAAATGTATGTAGATGAAGTTTTTATTTTGCATGTCGATGCACACAAATAAACAATTTGAAAAGATACAGTGTCTACAAACATGCTGCATAAACTCTCCAAACTTGGCTGCAAAATTTTTTATTGCACACAATTTTCCTTTTGTACAATCTGTGTCAACACTGTATCAAAATAGATCTCATTTGATTCCATCATTAAATCAAGTAATTAACACAAAAAATAATGCCTAAATACAAGCAAATTTTTTCTTATTGATTGGCCAATCTCACATGAAAGTAATCAGAACAACTGAAGTGTGTTTCTGAAGTGCAGTACAATACATGCAGCAGGTTTTTTTTTCTTGTGCCAGGTTCGTCAAAGACCCACTGATTCCCAATGCCTTTGAGAAGAATTCACCAAGAAATTCATCACAAAGATTCAAACTCTACTAAAAAATCTGTTTTTCATGATCTTGTACACAGCACTCAGAACCTGCAGGTAAATTACGCCATTCTTTATTAGTGCTGGAGGATAAATTTTCACTTTTAAAGCAATTTCATAAGAATTTTGCTTCCGGGCTAAGCAAACTTCAGTTGAAGGTAACCAAGAGAAGACAGTAAATATTCATCTGAACACTAGAATTAGTGAGAAAAATTAAGTTGTGCAAGTTTTTTCTTATTGCCATCCAGAAAGGGAGGCTTTGAGGAGAGAGACCGGTGGCAGCAGCCATTCCAGCCTTGCGTGTGCTAAAGAGCGGTGCATGCATACTCAGAACTGTATGCACATGCTCAGGGCTGGCAAAAAGGTATAATTGTTGCCACCAGCATCTCAAAATCTCCCACTGAATTGTCTCAGTGAGAAAGTTAAGGAACAGATGACTTGCACTGCAAACTATGTGCCATTTTTTTATAACAAAAGTCTTCCTTGTCGATTCTAACATACTCTTTCTTTGTGGGCATGAGTTTATAACCTTTTTATTTATTTTTTTTGTGAAGCTCAACACAGTATATTGTACAACTGTAAATAAAGCTTTTATATTTCTTAAAATGAACTTTTCTTCAACAAGACAGTAACAGCCCATATGGGAGCAGGGGCACTGTAATGATGCAAATTCCGAGATACAAAGAATAGAAACACCTCAATTACTTGCAAGTTGTCAGATGTGTGACTTTAATTTAAACACTGTAGATTGTGATGTTTAAAAACGATAGCAAGATGACTTAAAAAGCACATCCATGTTTGTACCCATGAAATGTAGTGTTTTAGTCAAATACTTTTGAATAAATTTTGTACCAAATAGTTAACTGATTAGGAGGAAAAAAGCTGGAGAACATGGGCATAGGACAGTAAATGCTCAAAGGTGTGATAAGAAACTAGAATGACTTCAGACCATCACTGTTTAATAAATTTTTATGACATAAGCTCTCAACTGAGGACTTTTCTCCTTAAGTTCACAAAATTGGGAGTTTCTGGAGTCTTGAACTCGGTGTGTAGTCACACCTTTGTGCATTTTCCATCGAATTCCATTGTTCTCAAGCTTTCTTGCCTCCTAACCAGTTCAATACTTGGTAGTGAACTTGGTCCTTCAAAAGTAGTTGACTATAACAAAGCTATTTTGGTACCACCAATATGGCCTATTCCCACCAAGAACAACTTTGCAGGCTGTTTTTAATACCAAGTTTTCATTACCCTTGGTTAAGGTACCTTCAGTGCCACTTTGAAGGAGAAAATTCTAATGGCCTGTCCGAATCAAATGGCTGTGGCTAAGTAACACAATGCTTCTATGAGGAGAGGTTGCAGCCACTACCGAGCCACTTCCATAGGTGCCCATGTTATATCCAGCTACAGCCATAACATCTGAACACAGCAGAGAACGTCAATGTTAACTCCCTATCAGTAGTGCACAAACGTTGTCAATGAAGAATTCAAAAGTGGCAGAACTGAGGAAATAATGCGTTAAAGCATTCCCCATCAGTGGCGGATCCAGGTTTTGAGTTCTGGAGGAAAAATTGGAAATAAAAAAAAAAAAAAAAACAAAAACCCCAAATGGCCATTTCTTTGTTTCATCCTCAAAAAGAATCCTTTCTCCTCCCATTTGCCCCTCTCTCTTAAAGGAGTTAAAATCTACATTAAAGATTAGCACTTTCAGTTCCTTATAAAAAAGAGGCAACTTTCCTGGGGGGAAGGGGGCAGGGTGCCCTGATATGCTAATATTGCTGATGTTAATGCTTACATGTAGCTCGAGGGAACACACAAAGTAACACAAAAGCATCTGTGAATTTGTTAACAGTAATTTTGATCTTTTAAGTAACGCACACCTGTGATAGAGCAACTCTTAGGATACATTATTACTTTGGAAGGAGTTTGAATAAATTAAATCCATGTTGGAATCGGTGTTCCCAAGTTGCTTTGATTTATCAGAGTATTCGTTAACAGTAATGTTTGGAGTCTCTTCATAAAAAATGATAAATTATAATTGTTACATTTAATGTTTCATATTTTCAAGAGATTCAGGATAGAAGGCACATATACAAGCTGTCAACAGGCCAAGGGCTAATCTCTGGATTAATGCATACATCTAAAACACAACATTAAATGATAGCGAACAATTTCTAAATAACAAAAATTGACATCAAAAACAAATTCCTTGCACCACAAAGTAACGTGAAATGAAACTCGATTATGTTTCCAGGCAAAACCCTACAGTTGACACATACATGTACAATGTAAGTTTACACACAGCATGAGGAATTCTGTAAATATATACCGAGTTTATTACAAAAATCTGTACAGGGGGGCTGTGAGTTCTTGTAAAATTTTCATATTTGGTTGTTCAAATATGAAGTGGATTTTAAAGTTGAGTATATTCAGCACAGCCCTGGAGTACAGATTTTACAAAGAAGAGACACCTCCGTAAAAAAAATTTCTTAGAGTTGTGCTCTATTCTGTTTCTGACAATTGAAACTATCAGGCTTCAGAAAATGCCCCTTTCTGAGGTTAATTCATTTTTCCTACTACAAATGTCCTGTCTTTGTACACACCACTGCAGGTTTGGGCACATTTTGGTGCATGAGTGAATGAAATTGGCCTCGTCTTCAAATACAAACCTGGCAAATGTTACACTCATCAGCTGCAACTCAGTATTTCTGTTAAGCATAGACAGGGTCACTTGTATTACATCAGCAATAATCGAGGGTTCAAAATATTTTTCAAGAAAACACCTTCAAATAAAGTGAAGCTGGGCTATTTCAATTTGAAACCTGAAACAAACTGGGTATGCCTTTCTTTTTTCTCTCTTTTGGAAAAGACAAGCCATCCTGTAGTCCGGTGCAAATACATATGGATCAAAGGCAGAGAAATGGGGTCAAGGTACAAGATGCTTCTTTTGGCACACATCATTGATGCAACACTGGAGAACTGTTGGGCCAGCTGTTTTTTTCTTGTGTTGTTAGGTTGTATGGCATCACACTCTAAAGGCCGTCTCCAAAACGGGCTTCTGGAGCTACGGCTACATCTTATGTCAGCGCATTGCTGTGTACATGTAGTTCCAATGCAGCCAAGGATTTAGACTGAGCCCTTGACAACAAATTTGGAAGCAGCCTGAATCTTTAAGACTCTCACAATGAAGAGAGTCCCAAACGTGAACTTTCTCCACGTCAGTATAATGTCACACTGCAAAGTGTAGAAGTTTATTTCTTTTAATCCATTTTTACTTTGTGGTACAAAGAACATATTTGCCTTTCAGTCCCTACCGGTACATTAGGGTTATGTCTTCTCAAAGCACTAGTTCTCTAAAACTACAAATGGAATAACAGTTCCAAAAAGCATCTAAAATTACAACTTTTGTCTGAAACATACAATACTGCTTATTCAAACATCTCATAGTATGTACACACATTATACATCTACTATTATGAATTCAACAAAATGTAGGTTACAATTAGAAATTAAGTTATTGTAATTTTATCTGCAATTTAATTTCCAAATTGGAAACTTCTCTGCATTAAGTTTGCACACCATCATTTCATTTCATTTCATTTCATTATGAAAACTGACACAACCATCCACATGGGAATGTTATAAACTTTACAAATACTTTTTAATTCACCTTTAAAGTCTTAGCCAAAATATACAGTAATCCCCCAAAAATAGTTGTCTATATTACACAAGTTTATTCCCAAAATATCTGTTTACATATAGTTTCTTTGGTTGTTTTGAGCAAAGTTCTCCTAAAAGAACACACATTGGGAGAATCACCATTTATTTTGAGAAAAGTGTCGGGACAAATTAACAACATTTGTACACGACTGAAATGTGTTAAATTTATAGATAAACTGTGTGAGCACTCATTTTTGTCACATATTTTGTTAATATGAATAACATAACGAATGGAAATATGCCTAAATTATGTACAGAAAACTTGCATATTATACCAATTATGGTAAGGATTGAAAAAATGAAAGATGCCAGATTAAGTCAAGAACAAGCTTCTTATCATTCACTTTTGAAAAGTCCAATATTATTTGCCATAACAGAAATTGTGTTACTATACAAAGGGATTCTGAAATCACAAGAATTGTATCAATAAGATTATCACTTTTACATAAATATTTACAATTTCTCAGTACCTGATTTCACTTTTCATTATAAAAATCACACAAAATTACAACAGATTTGTATAAAATCATTTGTTGAAACTTCAAAATCACTCATTCATAAATTATAAAATTTTGATTGCAAACTTTTTAGTACTGACAGCAGACAATTTCCTGATATTATTTCATTTCTATTTAATTTCAGATTTGATATGTAAAGTATAAGGCAAAACATCGGTTTTTCATTAAGAAGCAACGGCTGGCAATGACAATCAAAAATTTGCATTAAAACATTACAACTTAAATTGCGTCGACACCTTTGGCTAAGAAATTGGAGCAAAATGAATTAATTTCCTTCTTAATCAAAGTGTTACAATATGTTGTGTGACCAACAAAAATATGGGCATCTCTGGCATGAAATAATTTTCTAAGCATCCTAATTGATAACACAGACAGATTTCTGCATTCATACACCTCCGTTGAACTGACCATATCAGGTAAAGCTGAAGTTTTTTCGTCAGCTCCATTTTCGACAAGCATGAATCTAGGTGATTCTTGATAAGTGGTTGCTTTACAAATTGACTTGATGCCTTGGGTAGCACTATATTTCTCAGGCAGGGTAGGTGCCACCCACAAGGCGCTTCTTGTGTTTACTAGAAAAAAGGCCACTTTTTGCAGTGTATCACGGTAAAAAAAAAAGTCGACACATGCGCACAGTTCTTCTCACAAATATGCAGTGCTGTATTTGGGTCCATCACAAGTCCTGTCACAAGTCCCTTCACAAGTCCAGTCATAATTTCATACACAAGGCCAGTCATAAGTAATAGTTTGTTATTGAAAAAAGAATACTTTTGTCACAGCTCAATTGAATAGTTTGTGAATTGGCTTAAGACTGAATGACTTGGGATGGACTTGTGATGGACTTAAATACAACACTGTCACTCCGTAGGAGGTAGGTGCACCTTTTTTAGTTACAGTTTTTGTTTGTGGATAATGGTACGTTCATTTACATGGCTCTCACATGCATTCCTTTGTGTGATATGTTGCAAAAGATGTTGACAGATAAGAAGTGCAAAATAATGCGCTGTAGGAAACAACCACAAAGTGGAAAAATGGCGTCTTTGATTTCAGGCAAATTCTTGGTGTCATACTGTGTTGTGAATTACATCTTGTGAGCACAGTTGCATTGGCTCATTTATAGGGAATGTATGCATTCTGTTTTGGTCCTGTGTTTCTTTAGGCTTTTACATATTATTACTAATAATAACTCCATTTATATAAATGGTAATTTTGCGCTGAATTGAATTTTGTGCTGATTGTCTGGCTCTGTTTTGAAGAACACTGCGCATATGAACATGCACATGGATAGTAACTGCCAGTTGATTTTGTCAGTTTTAGTAATGGGGAAAAGGTCTACGCAATGAACACTAAAAACAGAAAGGATGATGAAATCTGTGTGATGCCCTTTTTTGCCCAAACCCCCCAAAATCTATGGGAGAAATGTAATTTAACAAAAGCTGACTGCTTCAATTTGTGGTTCAGTAATATGCTCGTGTCTGGGGATCTGCTCTTCTGTATTCCTTCAGTTTTACCTCAAAAGAAAAGATACTGCATTGTAAGTCACAAAGGGAGGCTAGTTTTATGACAGACTACACTGGTGTCAAGAGTCAGAAGTCATTACTGATTGGAACAACACGTGCTTGCACATGTTACTTGTGCCATTCTGACCAAGGGTCATGTATAAACTTGCAAGAATGCATGTCCGCCTGGAGTATGCATCTGTGAGTGGCATGCGTGACGCTGTATACCATCTCGTTAATGGCTCCTGCTCTGATCAGTCAGTCCCATCCAAAGCAGTCACTGTTTTAACCTCAACTTTCAAAAATCCTTCAAAATCCACCGGGTTGTTTTGGAGGACTGTGCAACAAGCAGTAATCAAGTCAGGCCACTGTAATTTATGTGGGCTTGATGCCAGGGCCATTGTTGAGGCATCACAAGTCTAGTCACAAGCCAAGTCACAAGCCAGTTACTTGTGGAATAATGACAAAGGAACGCTTCTGTCAGCTCACTGAAGCTGCTCCAAGTGGGACAAGAAGATGATGAGTTTTACACAAAGACGATCACCTGGAATCTCAAAGTGCACTCGCACAGGCATGTGTGCATTTTGTGTGGGATGCGTGAAGCATGCGCAACCAATTTCTATAAGTATTATGATGGTATGATCTTTTGGGGCATGCACCGGGCACTCAGATGAAATGATTCCCCCCAACCTGTCTGCTATCAGCTGGTGAGGGGGTGCTACTAGCCTAGGCAAAGAGCTTGTGACCTGGCTTGGGGCTTGATGACCTGCGATGGAACTTGCAGGAAGACCTGAGGACTAGTGATGGATTATAGAAGAATCTGATGACAGTGGCAATGCTATTGCTTGTCATTTGCAATGGTCCCCGCCAATAGTGGTAAGCATTGTAATGATCATTGTAAAAACCAATGTTCATAACAAGACACTCTACACAAGACTCAACGAAATACTTTCCACAAAGGGGAGATCAGGAATTCCAGTGAAGGTTCCTTATAAATCATCTATACAAATATACCTCTTGATACCAACTTTAATTCTGAGCACAAAGAACGTACGCATGCTTGGGTTTTCTGCACAGTGTCAGATTGCGGAGGATTCTGGAAGGCAAACAGTATCTAAGGAGTTGGGGATGATGCAAGAGTTTTCAAACTCCTAGACGGTCTCCTGCTTCGGTAGGTGTATGGGCACCGATACCGGGGCGGGGGCTTGCGGAGCGGCCTGGCTGACCTGGGCTGTCCCAGCTGCTGCTGCGCCAGGACTGTTGACGCTCAGCTTGTAGTTGTCCAAGTGGGGGGTGGAAACAGCCGCCGCCGCTCCCGCCACTGCAGCTGATAGGGAGTTGGGCGTGCCCGGGTGGCTGGTGTGGCCGTTGGCCAAGTGCTCGGTGCCTGGTGGCAGGTGGGTGCCGTGGGGGCCAATGGGCGTTTGCTGTTGGGCGGGGTCATTGCTGGCACCTGGGCAAACAATCCACAGTCGTTATTTTTTGCACTGCATGGTGTGGTCATTAACAACAGCTACAAACAGGCGAATGATCACCAGTTATTATTTGTGATGTGATCTGTAAAACCCTCACGTGGTGAGCTTTTTCATTTTGGTGCATATCAACTTCAAATTGATCATGACACCGTCCTGTTTTCAAAACCGTTTCAATCTTGATTCACGTCAACCTAGATGCATGTTGTTGACAAAAATTAAAATATGTGAAAAACAAGAGTATGTCCATATTAATCGGAAGTTTATATATACCCAAATGACAAAGCTCAACGTGTGAAGGGTTTACACAGATCACATCAACTTTGTGCTGTGGCTAAGGTTGTTTTGCTGGTATTTTGATTATTTCATTTTCTTTATTTTTTCCATGTTTTTCTCATACACCCTTAAAAAGCCCAAATGAGCTGGGGTGAGTGAAATTCAAGTGTTAAAAAAAATGAGGTACTGGGGTATGGGACAGCCAAGTTCTTAAGGGCAGGCAGAATCCTCCCCCCCCTAGCGTAAGATGAGCCACATTAACCCAGCTCTTTTGGGGTTAAGCTGGTTTGCAACAAAGTCAATCCGGCATAATAACCAACTATTCTACATTCACACTGGCTCATACAAGATATGCACAGACCTGGATGCAAAAGCACATTTGAATGACAGAAGATAGTAGACCTGATGTAAAAAGGAATGCTGCTATGGACATCCCGTACATACTGTACATGCTTGAGTTTGTGTAGGGCTGCACTGGAACTGTAATCCCTGCATGTGCGTCCAACACCTTGGATGTGTTTCATTTTGGGCATATGGGCTGTTGGAATATCAAATGGCTCATTTGCAACTAATAACTCCAAATCCCGACCCCAGCTGTACCTGTATGATAGACAGGGAACCTTAGGGAGACCTGGTAAGTCCACATAAGGTCTTCCCTTAACATTTGCAGTATGAGGACCTCTTTTAGTCTCAAGTCCACACAAGAAACAAAATGCCTGTCAACAGGAGCCAACAATTCCTGTCTTCCATGAAAGTCCCCGAATCTACAAACCAAGTTGCAAGTTACAAATTACCCAAACAATATTTGAGCTGAAGATCTCTTAAAGAATCTTGTGCAGTACAAATAAAAAAGAACCATACCCACACCTCATCCACTTAATGCCCATCACACTCAAATAAGGAGGCTAAACTGAGTGATATACATAAAACAGAGAGCTCAGTTGGTTCCTTCTAATGCAGAGTAAAACAGAATGACTTCACTGAATAAAAACTGAATCTCAAGGCACTTTAAGGGTGGCATACTATGTCTAATTTGATAAATGTTAACAACAACTTTTCCTACCATTTAAACATTTTGTCAGTGCTTTACAGAGGCCCACTGATGCCCACCTCAGTATTATGTCGAATGTAAATCAATGTTATGGGGCATTCAAAATAAGCAATTTTTCTCATTTTAAATTCAAGTTCCCACCATAAAAGTAGATGGGTGCAGAAAGGAGAAATCACTACCCAACTGAATGCTCAATCACGTGAATCAAATGTCAAAGCCCCCAAGATAGGTTACCTTTGAACATTTAGGAAAATATGTAAAAGTTTACGGATTGTTTTTGTTGTTTAAATGTTAAAACCTGTAAAAGTCACACTCTTAAGGTACTTACCTCCCAGCAGCATCTCCTGAAGAAGGTTGTCCACCTTGGCCACCCCGAACAGCCGAGCAAACTGGATCTGCTCGATCATCTGCCAGGTGATGCTCTGCAGAGGGGGCAGGAGGAGCAGGATCTCTCCAAATCGGCCTCGGGAGTCATACTGGCGGTCATTGATGTAGTCCTCCAAGTGGATCTGCACCTGGTAGCGCAGCGCCTTGATCTTGTTAGAGTCACTCAGCCCCTTGGCATCTGTGGAGAGAGAGAGAAGGAATAGACACTACAGGCACAACACCAAGCCCATGTATGTCCGGACTCTTAACGTTCTGTAAAGATGATCATTGGCTGCTGTGCCACTGTACCAATTGCTGCCACAGAGGATTGGTTAACAATGATGAGTCTGACTTTGTATCTGCATTAAGTATTTACGTGATGTCACAACTTGAATTTGTGTTTGCTTTCACACCAAGTACGAATCAGTTGCTAATGTTGTGTAGCTATTAACTAATGAGTGCTGTCTCTTTGCACTTGATGACAGAGGTTGGAGGTAACTCTGACCATTCTGATGGAAAGTTTACAAAAATAGTTTTAGTACAATGCAAAATTATAACCACTAGACCTAATAGAGGGATTACACTTCACACTTTTTTCAATGGTTCCTTACTGAATTTAAGTATTATGGAGTACCAACTGCAAGGGGTCTAATAGCCCATTTCACTGTATTACTGTGAATGCATTACTGTATGAATGGTTTGTCAGTTTCATAAAACAGATGAAAGCTACTTACCAGGGTCAAAGAAGACAATGGCCTTCATGCAGGCAAACTCCTGTTCATCCAGCCCGACGTCCCGCATGGGCTTGACCAGCTCGTCCAGGACCCGACTGGCCACCCGGTTGATGTCCATCTGGTCAGGGCAGTGGCGGGGCAAGATGGTGTCGGGGCCCATGATGAGGTAGTCCTTGAACGGGAGGGAGCGCTGGGCAGCACCCAGGACCAGGTGTTCGCCAGCGTGGGCTCGCAGGAGGGCAACCTGGAAGGGGGGGGAGGTGGGTGGGGAAAGGGTGGTAGTCCAATTCATAGCCAAGAAAAATTTTTAGCTCCTCTTTTGCATGGTTATGGTTCATTAAAACCTTGAAATTAAGATCAAAACTTTTAAAAATACCATTAAATGTTTGCAGCAAACACAGAAAAACAACATAGCAAAGGAACAATGTCTTTGAAATTTAAAGTAAAGTGGCCTTCACAGAAATCTATGACTTTGCCTTTTTGTGTTTTTTACCAATTTCCATGACTTTTCAATACCTTAAAATTGAACACACAATGTCACATCTTTTACATTTTTTCCCCTGTGAACCATGTGAACCCTGCTTTTCGGAGAAGGACTCTTGTTATGAGCAAACTTGTTAAAGGAGTGCCAATTTCTGCCAGATGAAAATGCACTGCTTGATGACAGTGCAAAAAATGATTGCATGACCCCATGCACAGTATTAGCAATCACAGCAATGACTGGCCAGTAACAAAATGTCGGCAATGTTACATGCACTTGCTCTGTAAAATGCAAATTATTCCATTGGTTGGCATATGCTTTATTGCCCTTTCCACCTGCTGTCTTTGGGAAAAGAAAACGTTCTCCAGTGTCTTTAATTGTCGAGGATGACCAGCACTCTCCTCTCTGTTTGCGCATTTCATGATAACCTTTCTCATCATGTGTCTGCTAGATCTTCCTGTTTGCTGCAGAAAAACATGCAACCTTTCTGAGATTTCAACAATGTCCATACCTGGTCATCTAATGGAAGCTCACAGAAGCTGGGGATGTATTTCGCCCACTCCACAAGGATCAGGAGCTGTTGCTTCATCGTCTCACAGATGTCATTCATGTTGGCTATCTTCTTGGTCGCTAGGTTGGTGTCTGAGAGAGTCATCTGTGGAGAAATCTGTCCCAACCAGCCGAAGAAAAAAAATCTGACAGATTGTTAACGGTTCTTGAAATGGAATATAAGATTGTGTATGCACCTCTTAAAATTAAAACTTATAAAATGTTTGTCCAGGCACCTGTTGCTCATCTGACTTGAACCAGCCAGCCAACCATGGCAAACTCAGTGCTTCAGTGGTAAGACATGTGAACAAGTAAGCAGGAGGATATGGGTTCAACTCCCAATGACAACACTGGGTATACAGTGCTTGTTAATGTGTGTCAGTTAACATCTGTCTAATGCTAAAATTACATCTTATAGCAAAAGACAAAAACAAAAACAGGCACAAGTTGTTTGGTAACTGCTGACAGAAGCAAGCCTTTAAAATAAATTGAAAAATGATCATAAGAATCCCAGTTAAGATGCACACAATTAGGCAAAAGCTGAGTTTTCCGAAACACCTGTGGCAACAGCCGTCCAAACTGTATGAACACTGCCAATGTTTGCAACGTCTACTCCAAGTTTTGCCAATTGTGAGAAAAAAATTCTTATCTTGACAGCATGTGTACACGCACTAACCTGTTGCTGAATACCCACGTCCACATGTTCATTGCGAGCAATGTGCAGGTGTGGGTGATAGAAATGTCTGTATGATGATCAGTGCTGGCAGATGGGTGTGATGCGACAAGATAATGGAGATGTAGCACTGGATGACAGTGGACAAGACCATGAAATGATGGCATGAATATGATGATGCCAGCCACAACTTTAATGTGGCCTGATAAAACAAAGAAATGATGATGTTGGAAAATAAAACCATTACACTCATAACATGAAAGGATGACACCTACATGTACACGTACACACACACATACATGTATGTAAACTGATATATCTAAACGAGAGTTCTGGTTAAACTTTGTTCATTGAAATAATTAGGAACTAGTTTACTGATGTATTCAAACTTTAAGTTGTGCACATTCAGATGAAATCGGTCATGTGTACTCTAAGCTATATGCAAATCTGTGCTTGAATGCAGTGTTTCCACTACCATTACTACACTAGAGCTCCTTTGATCGGTCCCCTAACCCTATTCACTGTTCACTGTTTCCATCCTACCTGTCTGGATAATATTTCTGCATTGACCAGCTGTGCTATTGACAATGACGTCGTATTGAGGCTGTCTTCGTAGCTGGGCCTTCGCGTGCTTATCCTGTCTCGTTCATTCTGTACGGCTGCCAACAAAAGATTGGAAGGGAAACAGCTAAACATAACTTGGAAGGATTTATGAACTGCTGTTCAACTCATGTTGAACCTTGTCTGAGGCAAGTTTCCAGTTGCATCTTGCTTCAACCAAGTTTCTTCGCATCACTTTAATATTGCTCCAGTTTGACCCAAATTTATGCATCTCACAGATGTGCTACACACACTTATGTTCAGAACCTACCAATCGGTCACTTTGGCTGTGTTAGTTTGGTTTGTTGATTTATTGTAACTTATATTTTCATCCCGTCATTTGTAACATTCAAGAAACTTGTCATAAAAATAATGATAAAACTGTGCGCCAGAAACTGACCACACGCAGCTGTACCACACGGTCACTAGTTCTTCACTGTCAGTGTTGCTCAAGTCACGGGACATGTACGGGTCAGGAAACCTTGGGGAAGGAAGGGGGCACCTTCCCCATACAGTTATATAACTGTGTACTCACTACTACCTTCTTTCTTCATGCCGGCTCGGAAGCACTTCTTCAGCCGACAGTAGCGGCACTGGTTGCGCTTGTCCTTGTCCACCACGCAGTTGCGGCTGAAGCGGCAGGTGTACTGGTGGTTCTTGCGCACGCTGCGGCGGAAGAAGCCCTTGCAGCCGTCACAACTGGCCGCGCCGTAGTGCTTACCCGTGGCCCGGTCGCCACAGATTGCGCAGAGGGGTGGTGTGTTCATGTCGACATCTGCATTACAACGATAAGAGAGGAGGGTAAAAAAAATGAGAAAAGTTGTTATTTGCTGATTATTTCAATGTCTTTTACAAAATTCAAATATGCCACTTTGTGTGAAAAGTAGTACAACAAATATTTACAATCCCAGTTTATACATGTACATGTAATACTGATGTGTATTTACAGAGCGTACATGTACCTATCTGCGCTGGTGCTTGTGGCATATACATTAATATTATCTCTGCCCATCAAGCCCATAAGCATTCCTAAAACCATCTCAGCTCCCTGGGAAGCATGCAGTTTAATGATGGAGTTTCAGGTGCTAACTGCTGACCAAACGCAACAACCATCTCTATCGGCGCAGGTAAATGTAACCATTTACACTACCAGGTGCCAGGTGCCGAGAGACAAATGGGGAATAAAGTGACTTGCCCGAGGTTACAACATGTGACCAGCTGCCCGAGTTGAGCCTTACATGTACGTTCAGGGTGACAAAACCCCGAAAACCATGATGGGCCACCAACCTCGATCCACCTTCATACAGTTACATGTACACTGTATGTACGTGCATGCTGGAATGACATTTGCGCATTATATTCCTGAAAGATGTCAAGAGTTCAAACAATGTTAAGATACGTGATTTCTGTATATGTACATGTAATTCACGGCCAAAAAAATGAGTAGCACACTGCACTGTGCACTCTCCTTGTTGTATGTTTGCTTCTCACCACAACATTTCTTGGCTGACTCCACATGAATTTATGGGTAAAAATTCGCCAAGAGATTGGTTTTCACAGGAAATTATCGGGGAATATAAATGTACATGTAGCTAAGCCATCACAATGTGGTGCATGTACACGTACAGTAGATCATGTCGATGTTAAAGTCAATCATTAATGAAAAAGCAATTAGTATATTACTGCTCATCTGTATGATCGATCTCAAGAGGTACACAAAATTGATTTATGTTAAAGATATTCTAGAGAAAAAGCCATTTTGTTTTCACCTCCGATGTACGCACACGTGGGAAATTATTACGCATAAAATTGGAATTGTGGGGAAAGCTGGTAACTGTTCTCATACTTACAGGTCTGTGACGTGATCATAATCGGTGCACGTGCCAGTCAGATAGGGATAATTAACTGATTGACAAAATAACAACTTGATAAAAACTGAGACAACATTAACTTTCAGGAGAAATACAATCAGCACGGTGCCATTTTGGAGAACTCCTCCCCAATTCGGCCATTTTCATTTATGGCACCGTGCGTGCAGGCAGAGTCTAAGTGTTTGCCCACAGGACTGACCTGACCTCGACAGTTTACAGCCTCTTTCACTGAGGCCTGTTGGCGAAGCACTCTGTACATATAGACATTTCACCAGGGCTTTTTGAAGAGTAGAGAAGGCTCATCACTTAGGGAGGACAAACCAGTTTACCGGTGTTGGGCAAACTATGGGGTTGAAGGGGTGCCTTTTCGCTGTGAATTACATATTAGCATGATGAGTCAGGTGTCTAAAAATGCTTGCATTGGAGGTTACTTCGGACCCCGAACAAAGGGTGGTTTTGAGTAAATGTGAATTATGAAAATATGAAAAGAGTCAAAATAAAAAAAAAAGAAGGAAAAAAGAAAGTCTTTGGCAAATTTTGATGAACAGTAGTTTTGTGTGGTTAGGGGTTAACATTCTTCTTACAGCCAAGACTGTCTCATTCACAGGGTAAATAAACTACCTAATGATTCACTGATGTGGAGATCCGAGTTGAAAGGAGAAGAGGGCGTGTTAAAGATATGACAGCACAGGAGGTGATAAATATACATATGATCTTATTTCAATGATGAGTTTTTGGGGGAGGGAGAGGGGGTTTATTACGTTTAACAGTATATCCCATGACTGTGCACACTGGGTCCGGGCAACGTACATACGTACGTACGTACAGTATCTAAGCTGAGTAAATATCCAGCCTACATATACAGGGTGTATTCTGAATACAATTTTGGTATGTACATGTACATATAAATAAGTTACGTATAAATAAAGAAAGATTCTTTGGAATGACTTACTAGTATTTGTTCATGACGACACACATGTAGTTTGAATGTGCCATTGTATTGTCCCAAATGATATGTTTTTAACATGTATTGCCCCTTTCAACACAACCTATACACCAGTAGCACACCATTTCACACCTACATGCACATGTATGGGTGTACTAACATTTGCCGGAAGTTTTGATAGTTTGCTACAATTTTTGGTGTAATTGGTACTTCACTGATGTTTCAGTTCACAGCAGTGGGCTGGTTAGCCGGGCTTTTTCGCAAATATCTCCAACGAGCAGATTGTCAACAGAACTCCCCCTCCTCCAAGAGTTTCTTCCATAACGACATCACAGCAAGAGCCTAATATTTGTCAGGAAAAGCACTGGAATTTTTACATTTTAAAGTTTGGCCAAGTTTTTCAGTGAGAGTAAGCAAACAGATACATGTACATGTATGCCAAAAAGTTTTCTTACACTCAAGAGTGGGAAACTGCACTGAACATGTTCCACTGTAAAGGTCACATCAACAACCCTCTCCTGAGGACAACCAAAGCATTCTGGTCTAAATGTCGAGAAATACACTCACCAGTTCTTCTCAGTACCACCACTATTATCGAAGAGACTGATGTCACATGGTGTAACCACAAACCTTCTCTTAATCAACTCTTTGATAGAATGCTGATTAACCATTATTTATGATGCAATCACATGTACATGTATACAGACAATGCCCGATTCAAAATTTCTACGTCCTAGATTAATATTTCTTACATACCCTGTACCTCTCATTTGATATGGTAACTAGTACCTCTGCATGTAAGAACTGAAATTTTCTTCCTTCTTAACAAACACTGTAATTACTTGTCTTCAGTCGCAAGAATTGCAGCGTGTTTGGCATGTATAAATCTCGTCTTCCTGACTGTTCAACTTTAAGAAAATTGATTTTCAAATGAAGGCCAAGACAGAATTGAAAACACTACAGGGAGCACACAATTGAAATTTAGTCTGAAACAGGCTCCACAATCAGTTTTAAAAATAGCATAACTAATATTTTTATCAACTTTCCTCAAGGCAAATAGGTACAGCGTATACAGTACACTGTTTGTCAATTACGACGGTGCGTGTCTTTCTTCAGACGTACATGTACATGTACACATTTTCTTTAAAGAAAAATGGCTGAAAAATTACTCCTTCAAGCATATTGCTATGGGAAGAATACACTGAGTTTATCAATTTCCTCCCTACATATGGCAATTAATTTTTAATCGCTTCTTGCAATAATTGCTGCCCTAACCAAGGAATATTCATTATTTTATGACGTTCAACCACAGAAAGCGACAGCTGTTGTGAACATAGGAGATAGCACACGCCATTTTATCTTGCTGCTCTGACCACGGTTGTTTCTGTCAAACGCGTCAGCCTTGCAGATGATATTTGAAGAAACTACATGCCTATCACTCAGTGTTTTGACATTCAAATGTACAAAATACGGCAATGTTGTCAGAATCTTACATGCCATGTACCTACATGTACAGTACTTGAAGTGTATCATGCACAGAATGCCTACATGTACATGAATGTTTGGAAGAATCATGCTGTCTAATTGTCATTGCTCAGTGAGTTTAAATGTTTGAAAAATATCAGTTATGGATCATTCCATATGCGTTAAAAAATTGAAAGATCTACAAAGTACATGCAAATTTACACAAAAAGTTACAACAGAGAAACATTTGGACTACATGATACTGAGCTACAAACAGGCAAAGCGTCATTGCTAAAATTGCAAAAATCTATTCTGAAAATGGCATACATGTACACGTACACTGGGCGACACCCCTCAGAACGATAAGGGTGGATGTGAGTGCAGGCTGGGCAGGTATAATCTGAAGTTTTGTTAAAAACCGGATAAGACCAAGCACCAGATAAGAACAGGGGAACTGAATTGCCCCTGAAGCACAAACAAGTAACTTAAGGTAGATAAGTCAGCCCAATGATAAGGCTTTCCCTGGGCCTCCTGCACCTCCCACTTCCATTGTACCCTGTTTGTTTGTTTGCTGCCTTGCTTCATTTGCACTGGGAGAGGACTTGTTTGCACACCAAACCAAAAGTAACCATGCCAGGCTTGGGGAGGCCTGAACTGGGTGACACAAGAGGGCCATTTAGAACTCCAAGGCTGACAGGTCTCCCCATAAAAAAAATAGAAAAACAGAGCCAAATGGGTCCCCAGATCAGGCCGCCAGATAAGAACAGCATCCCTAACCGTCATCAGGTGATTTTGTTTGTCACTGGGAACAAAAAAGAAGTAGGAAAAAAATGGAAAAAATTCTGGTCAAATATGCACAGCACTCAGCCGCATTTTGCAATGCTGTATGTAATCTGAGACGAGTTTATCTTGTCTGTTAATTTTTATTTTGAGGCATGCAATGCCCAAACTTTTGCCCCCCCCAACAATGTAAGGATGGGAAACTGCTGCCTATAATGCTAAAATGTTTCTTTTCCTGCCCACAATTTTCTTATTTTCTCGAAAACAAATAATACAAACACTTTACCACCTTCAAGGGCAAATATAAAGAACAGAAATCAAAGAGAAAAATTTGACAACACTTCAGTGCAGTTCTGAGAACAGCACACAAACAGACCACACAGTGTTACCTTTTCTCCTCCGCATTTTGTATGAAACTGTCAAGTACCAAAAGTGCAAAAGTCCAAAAATTGGACAGTTTTTCAGGTGACACACAAAAACCCCCTGTTTGTGCTGTATTGTGCTCCAACTTGTTGAGGACTAGAACTGGACAAATTTCAAAGTGCAAAACCCAGCTGGGAACCATGGGGAGAAAAAAAAAGTCATTACACACGACAGTGGCTTTTTGACAAGTAACACCAGTAGCGCATACGCACGGATTTCCTCCCTGCGAGGAATGTGCACCCTATTCGATCAGAGTTCAAGCTGGTAGGGAGATACAGTCCAAACGGTTTC